TTTGGTTAATTACTGGAAGATGGCGGTTCCACGAAACTTGTTTTTTTTGTGTGTGTTTTGAGAGATTTTTGCTATAGGGCACGTGCACTTGCCGGAGAGACAAGAGAGAGACAGTGAGACAGAAAGTGAGAAATCACCCCCTCAGGGGGACGGCCACACTGTAGTCCCTTCTCCTCCATTCTCCTCTTGGGATTTTGGGCACGCATGCACATGTGCCTGATGTGAGTTTTAAGCCACCGGATCTGGGCCTCGAATCGTGGTCAACATGGGAGTCCAGTGATATAACCTTTACGCCACCTGCTGTTCCCATGAAATTTGTTTTTATTGTTGGTTGAAAGCCATCCTTTAAATTATGTAAATTTAGATTTGTGCTGTCTCCTTTTCTCTCAGATTGAGAACAGCTTTGTTACTCTCTTACCAAGTAGGGTGTGGACGGTATAGTCACAGAACTGGTGTCTGGGTACATCTAGGACCGAAGCAGAGCCTGTGTCCCCCACAGACCCAGTTACCGCCAGGTGCCCTGGAGAGCATGTAATCTCTCTAATATTATTTTGTTTTCATCCATGTTCAGGGTAGGATTTTTGTTTTCAAAATTGTTTTGAAAAACACAAAACAAAGCCAAGAAAATTAGACCTACTTCGATATTGAAAAAAGACAAAGGAAACTTCTTAGAATGAAAGGGGCCTACCCAGACTGCCCCTCAGACCCTGCCTGTGCCGGTAATTACTGTGGTAACGTGGCGGAGGGCTTCCCTATCTGTCTTGATTTCTCCTGTCTGCTGTATCTGCAGACACACACGTGCTTACAGTATATACGCACTCACGTCTTCTATTTTCCCCTGAGTAAAAGTGAGACTGTGCTACACTTTTTGAATGACTACACAGAGCTCGAATTAGGGTTTATTAGTTAGTTTTGCCAGAGGGCGCCTGCAGAGACAGGCGGGGGAGTGAGAAAGCCCCCCTGCCATTGCGAATGGTCATACCACAATGCTTTCTTCTCCATCTCCCCCACGTACCTGGTGTGTTTCTTTTTCTTTTTTTTTTTTTTTTTTTGAGAGATTTTCACTGTAGGGCGCGTGCGCTCGCGAGACAGACAGAGAGAGACATAGAGACAGAAAGCGAGAAATCACCCCCCAGGGGGGATGGTCACGCCGCAATCCCTTCTCCTCCATTCTCCTCTCGGGATCTTGGGCACGCACGCACACGCGCCCGGCGTGAGTTTTAAGCCACCGGATCCGGGACCCGAACCGCGGTCGACTACGTGGGAGTCCAGCGACATAGCCATTACGCTAACTGCTGGTTCCCACCTGGTGTGTTTCTCAAGCCGCCAGGTCTGGGAACTGTGAGAGCAGCCATGTGGGATCCAGCACCTTAAACACCATGCCGCCAGCTGGGAACCACCATTCGCCTCGCCATTCACCTATTGAGGGGCATTCTGTGTTGCTAGTTTTGCGACTTTATGAAGCACCCGGGGCTGAGCACCCTGCGTGTCCATCTGGGCCCCGTGCTGCTGTTCCTGCAGGACAGGTTCCCTGAGGTGGAACTGTTGGATCACGGAGGGTGTACAGACCACATTTTAGTCAGAACTGCCGGGGTAGTTCTGAATTTTCCAAGTACAGTTCTACCTATGGTGTTTAAGGGGACTCATTTCCCTACACGCCATGCCCATGCAGCATTTAATATCGTGGATCTTTCACAACCTAGCTAGTCTGGTAGAAAACTGCATCTAATTTTAATGTAAACTTATTAACCCACTAAAGAGGCTGAGTACTATTGCCGAAGTTTATTGGCCAACTGTAAACTTCCTTTCAATCCTGTTGTATCTTTTGCCTGTTTTTCTGTTGGTTCGTTTTCCGGCAGGATTCTAGGTAAATGACCTCATCAGCCCTTTGGCCCTTATATCACAGCTGTTTTCATCTGCACATCATGGGCCTTTAGCATGACAGTATGCATGCATACATATGGAAATGTGCCCGGAGTGTTTAGGAATGGAAGAGTATTAGGCTTTTATTTCATACTTAGAAGTTCTCGTGGTCTTGGGACCAGCAGTTGGTATAATGGCTATGTCGCTGACTCCCATGTAGTTGCTGCAGTTCGAGTCCTTGACCCTGTCGCTTAAACTCACGCCGTGCATGTGTGCGTGCATACCCAAGATCCCAAGATGAGAATGGAGGAGAAGGGATTGCACTGTGGCCATCCCCCCTGGGGGGTGATTTCTCGCTTTCTGTCTCTCTGTCTCTCTGTCTTTCTGGAAGTGCACGTGCCCTATAGTAGAAACCTCTCCAAAAAAAAAGTTCTTGTGGTCTCGTGGTACTTTTCACTGCTCGGCAATGGCTATTTAAAGACTGTGGCTGCAATGACAGTAAAACTATAAATGGCGTTCTGGTCTCCATCCAAGGAGAAAGGTTCATCTCTACCGGCCTCTGCATTAGCTCCCCGCTGCCCCTCCCGGCCCCCAGCCCGTGCACAGCGGGTGACGACACAGTAAAGAGCCCTGCGCTGCACGGGCCCTGTAGGCTTGTGACCTGGGATGTCCAGAAGGTGACTTAGGACGAGGCTCGCCTGGTCCACAGGGACAGGGCTGGTTCTGATTGCTTCCACGTTCAGTCCATTGCCGGGATTCAGCTCATCCTTCTCTGTCCACTTTAGTGCGTTAACATTGCTGACATAGTCCTAAGGCATCACAGTCACCCAGGCCCAGCTGCAGTGGGCAGATGGAGGGGGCTGCCGGTGGCCGAGGCCACAGGGAAGCTCTGCAACGCCGCTGTGGTGGTGCTCGCCTGGGGTCAGCTCCAGGAAGCTGAGGCAGGAGGACGGTGACACCGACCTTTCTAAAACCACACTCACACACCCACACCCTACACACACACACACACACACACACACCCACCCCACAAAAATAGCTGTAAAAAGTCTTGCCCCCCCATTTTCCCTTCCTTTCCTTGCAAGTAACCCATGTTACAAGTTCCTTCTGTGTCCTGTAAATTTGCCTACCCCTCTTTGATTTTCAAATAATATGATTTTCTGTGAAAATATGAATAAAAATTGTCATGATTGTCAACAATCTATACTTTAAATGATTAAAATGGCAAACTTGATGGTATGTATATTTTACGAGGAAAAAAAAGACCTTAAGGACAAAAGTGATGCATGCAAGGGAGTTTCAGAAAGTCCATGGGAAAATGGAATTAAAGCATGAGTTTATTTTGGTGCAGATTTTTTTTGAAATCCATGCAGGTTTTCATTATTATTATTTTTTATAGCATGCATTTTCCATGAGCTTTTCTGAAGGTCCCTGGTGTTCCTGTGGGCAAGCACTACAGGTCCCGAGGAGACAGCTGGGTGGTTAGCGCGCCGTGGGGGCGAGCAGTGAGACGCGTATGTAATCATCCGTGAGGACGGTGTGCTGAGAGGCCGTGCGGCCCTGGCTCTGGCCGTCTGGGCCCTGCAGTGCTGCTGTCCCTCAGGCGTCTTCCTCTCGTTTGCAGAGAGAGCACATGATGAGCTGCTACTGGGAGCAGCCCAGGCCCATGGCCCCACGCCATGACCCCAGCAGGCCCTACGCCGAGCAGTACCGCATAGACGCCCTGCAGTTTGCACACCTGTTTCAGCTGGTCTCGCCGTGGACCTGCGGGGCCCACACAGAGATCCTCGCTGAAAGGACATTCCGGCTCCTGGATGACAACATGGACCAGCTTGTGGAGTTCAGAGCATTCGTGAGCTGTCTGGGTAAGCCCGTGGGTCCCTATCGCAGTGGTTGACTATGGGTGCAGTTCTGCCAACAGAGGGGATCGTTGGAGCGGGCAGAGCCACACCACGAGATGGTCTGCGACTGGCCTGGCATGATTTGGTGAATTTTAAATATCCCTGGGCAGGCTCTCCTCGGGTTCTCTTCCCATTTGTAGGCCTCCTTCAAGGGGGTGGGGAGAGGGGCTCAGGCTCTAACTTACAAGGCCTCTGCACGCCTTCTCCTGGGCACCAGGGTGTGGCAGTGGTATGCTGGCAGCCACATGCCTAACCTTTGTCCCTAAAAGTGAAAGATTTCCAAAGGTCTGACGGCAGACCACAGTCTCACGATCACCGTGCAGCTCAAACACGGTGCATGCCTGGGGCGAGGGGTGTGGGGGTGACAAGTGCTGGCCTCGCCCAGTGCTGTCTCCACAGCAAGTTTGTCACGACAGGCGTCCTAACCATTTGCATCAGCTCATTCTTGCTCTCCCTCTTATTTTTTTGCAGATGTTATGTATAATGGAGAAATGAATGAGAAAATCAAGCTGTTGTATAGGCTTCACATCCCTCCAGGTAAGACCGTCCGAGTGAAAACCAGCCAGGCCGTGCTTGGCCTCAGCAACTCTGCCTTGGCCGGGAGCACCGCGATGCGGCGATGTTTAGACTTGTGGCAACAGATGTTTGGTTTGGGGTTTCAGATGACAGGTGTGAAGGATTGCTCTCTGTGGCAGGAGTGTCTAAATTGGAGTGAGCTTCAGAATCACCTGGAGGCCTTCTTTATCTGGGTTATGTGGCCCACCCCAGACTTCTGACTCACTAGGTCCAAGACCACACTTTGAGAACCGCCCGCCTGAAATGTACTGGGGGCCAGACCCTGGCTCCCTGAGTGGTTGTTTTAGACTGCTGATCTTGAGGGATCCTTTCATCTTTCCAGTATGTGGACCCTGTTTCCTTCCAACTTAAGCAGTGGTAACCAGGAACAGAGGCTGTTTTGAAACCTATGAGGTCAGCCTTGACATTCACAAGAACAAGAACACCTTCCTATGTTTTCTGGATCTTTAGGACTAGCAGATTAGAAACTGCAGAGGGTCTCCAGGCCCCAGTGCTGGGGTTCTGTGTGGGATGGTGCCCGTGACAGAGCTTCTCACCCAGGAGCCTGTGGGGGCTGGCGGGTGTGGCAGACCCTGGGGCTTCTGCAACTATGAAAGCATATGCAAACGTTGAGCATGCACATGGAGATCACTTGAGGGCTCCCTGGGTCCTCTTCCTGAATCAGCTGTTAACTCAACTGTCAGGTAGGTGCATTCTGGCCTGAGAAACTGTGTACTGGCCACACCCAACCCTCCTCCACCTTCCCAGGGGCCCTTTATTACTTCAGTGAGAACGTCTTCGTAGCATTGGTGAAGTTCTCTATCTTTATGCCAATATACTACGACTTACTTATTTTAAAAGTTTACTTATTTCTGGGAACTAGCAGTTAGTGTAATGGCTATGTTGCTGGACTCCCATGTAGTCGACTGTGGTTCACGTCCCGGACCCGGTGGCTTAAAACTCACGCTGGGCATGTGTGCGTGCATGCCCAAGATCCCAAGAGGAGAATGGAGAAGGGATTGCGGCGTGGCCATCCGCCCTGGGAGGTGATTTCTCGCTTTCTGTCTCTGACTCTCTCTGTCTGTCTGGCGAGCGCACGCGCCCTACAGTGAAAATCTCTCCAAAAAAAAAAAAAAAGTTTACTTATTTCTTCTATGAGTGATAGAGAGAGAGAGAGAAAACACCTCAACCAGGTCTTGACCCTGCATTCCACCCCCAGCCTTCAGCCACCCCCGCTCGTGGGCAAGCATGTACTTAGTATACTCAGGGAGGTCTCTGGACATAACCAGGAACCTCCCCATGCGAGTCAGCCTCACAGTCTCAAGTTTTATTGCTGTCGGGTGCTCTTGAGTTTTATTTTTGATTTAATTTGCTCTAATTTTCACAGATGTTTCCAATGTCTCCCACTAACATAGAAGACAGGCACAATTGTCCCCTTATCATCATCTTTTCATAGTCATCATCATCTCTATCTATTGAATAGTCATCCTAAACAGAATGTGAATGATTGTATTGTATTCAGTTTTCTTCATTTTTAAGTAAACTTTTTATTTTAGAATGGTTTTAGATTTATAGAAAAGTTCTGGGGCCAGCAGATGGCATAGCAGTTATGTTGCTGGACACCCATGTGGCCGATTGCAGTTCAAGTCCTGGATTCAGTGGCTTCAAAAAGCACACCAGGCACATGTGTGTGCATGCCCAAGACCCTGAGAGGGGCCCCCCCAAAAAATCTGATGTATTATTTTGTTCAACTTTTTTTTTTTTTTTTTTGAGAAATTTTGCTACAGGGTACGTGCACAAACCGGAATGACAGTGAGAGACGGAGAGACAGAAAGTGAGAAGTCACCCCACTGGGGGTGATGGCCACACTACTATACCTTCACCTCCATTCTCCTCACAGAATTTTAGGCATGCACACGTATGTGACTGGTGTGTTTCAAGCCGCTGTGTCTGGATGTGAACTGTGGGGAGCAGATCAGGGCGTGTGTGACAGACCCTGCTGAGAGTGGCCTGTCTCTCTCTTTCTCTTATCTCTGTGTGCATCTGCCTTCAGTTTCTCTCTCATGAGTAAAAGAAACAAACTTTGAAAACAACAATTTCCTGAGGCAGGAAGACTCACAGTACCTTTAGGTCATTTCATTTAAATGACCATGTGGGAGTCCAGCACTTTAACTACTACACCATCTGCTGGCCCCATTCAGTGTATTTTTAATATTTGAATTTTTGATGTAGTTAAAAGTCTTAAGGATGTAAATAGTCTAAAACAATTCTCTTTAAAAATACCCGCTTTGGGGCCTGCAGGTGGTAGTGTGGTTAAGACGCTGGATTCCCGCATGGCAACCACGGCTCCAGTCCCAGACCTGGCCAGGCATGTTTGCATGCATGCCCCAAGTCCTGAGAGCAGAAGGGATTGTCGTGTGGCCATCCCCTCTGGGGAGTGATTTCTATTTCTTCCTCTCTCTCTTCTCTGGCGTGAATGCATCCTATGCCCAAAAGAAGCCACTAAAGAAAATCAGCTTTCTATAATAGAAGGGTGTGCATATGCCCATCACCCCCAGGGAAGATGGTCACGCTGCACCCTTCTCCATTTTCTTCTTGGGATTTTGGGCACGCACGCACATGCGCCTGGCACGAATTAGAAGCTACCAGGTCCAGGACTTGAATAACGGTCAACTACATGGGTGTCCAAGTTACGCCATCTGCTGGCCCTGAATGATGTTCTTACGAATGTTCATGTGATGTTGAACCGGCGCAGGTAGTGGAGCAGTGGTAATGCTGCAGGATCCACGGCCTCCCTGTTCATACCGTGTGTGCGAGTGCCTGTGACCCAGGCTGCCGAGACTGCTGCTGACCTGCAGGGTGGAGATTCGGCAGGAGTGTCTGCCTGTTTCCCTGGAGTTCTTTTTTCTGTTTCTCATGGAGGAAATAAACTTTAAAAAAAGCCAGGTGAGGACTGGCCCTGTGGCTTGGTGGTTAAAGCAGCTGGATCCCACATGGCCAACCCTGCAGTTGGGGTCCTAGACCTTGCGGCTTGAGAAATATGCTGAGTATGTGTGTGTGCATGCCTGAAGTCCCAAAAGAAGAAAGGAAGGGGGGTGAGCATCCCTCATAAGGGGTAAGCTTTCTCCTCTTCCCCCTCTTCTTTCTGTCTCTTTCTGGTGAGCACATGCACCCTCTAGCAAGCAAAACAAAAAAAAAAAAAAAAACAGTTGTATCTAGTAAAACTCAAGCTGTTCCAGCCTTTGTATTCAGCTTATGTGCAGAAAGAGGTTTCATTGTAGGTCTCTACAGTAACCAAGTGTATTTGCTGCCCAAAGAAAGTGATTTGTCAGGAAATTGAATTAAAAGGGACTATCTTTGGAATTCCAGCTTGCAATTTGGGTTAAGAATGGTTACTGGCTTTTAAAAGGACTTACGGAGCCACCAGAAAAGTCATGATGCATTTTTGCATAGAAAAATAAGTCATGACTTTTCCGATGACCTGATAAAATGTTAACCTAAATGAACTTAATTTAAGCAAACTAAACGAGTGCATGAAATTGTATGAACATGTACTGAAAAATATGGATTCAAAGCAAAAATTCAACTTAGAATAAAACGTTGCAAATGCTTCATTAGTGATGTTTAGTCAGTGTTATTTAAATCCTAAAACATAATTATAGACTAGAACAGCAATATCTGTCTGGGAATAGGGACACTTTGTCATTCTGAAATACTTAACATTGGGAAGTGTTGACTGGATTCAGAACATAGCGACATGAGCCAAACCGCGTCGACACTGCGTGTGCTATGGAAGAAGGGGAGGGGCTGACACCGGGCATGATCACATGCTCCAGGCGCACCTGAAAGCTCTAGACCATTAAGATACTCAGGAGTGACAAGAAAGACTCCATCATGCAGAGAAATATGCCATTTGCTTCCACCTTCTTGTCCGTTTTTTTTACTGATGGTTACATTCTGGTTTTTAATTTTTGTCTGTTTTTTTTAAAAAGTTTATTCAGTTATTTCTCCCATTAGACCCAGAAAGAGAGACAAGAGTGAGAGAGGCCCCAACAGAGTCCTCACACCGATTCCCTCCCAGTCTCAGCACCCCAGGCTGGGCATGCACATGCTCAGTGTGCGCAGGGAGTTCCTGGGCCCTGAACCAAGAACTTTCCACTGCATCACTGTCTGCCTGACAGTCTGTTTTGAAGGGGTCTTTATCTGAAAGTCCTTATCAGGAACTGCACGTCGCCATTGCAGTATGAAAACTGACACCGAAAGTCCCTGATCAGCCCCCAACACAGTGATTAAACACTGCAGTGGGAGCCGGGTCTCAGCCCTGGCAGCTTGCAGAACATGCTGGGTGTGTGTGTGCCAGTGTGCCCCACACCCTGACAGGAGGGAGGGATGGAGAAGGAGGATCGGCGTGTCCACCTCCCACTGCTGCCTCTCTAATAAGCCCTCTTGTCCACTGGCTAGTAAAAAAACCCGTAATAGTCCTGAGTGTGCTAAAACCTCAGTAAAGTGGTCTTTTTTTTGTTTCTTTTCTTTCTTTCTTTCTCTTTTTTTTTTTTGGAGAAGATTTTGCCTTAGGCTGAGCGTGCTCACCCAGGGGACAGAGAGGGTGAGAGGCAAAGTGAGAAATCACCCCCGGGGGGGATGGCCACACAATCCCATCTCCTCTCCTCTCCTCCTGGGATCTTGGGCATGCACACAACACATGCCCGGCATGAGTTTCAAGTCACCAGGTCTGAGACTCAAACCACGGTTGGCCGTATGGGAGTCCAGCCATGTATCTGCTGACCCTTACCTTTTTTTTTTTTTTTTTTGGGGAGGTGTTTTTTTTTTTTTTTCCCCCTCTAGGGCGCGTGTGCTTGCCAGAAAGACAGAGAGAGACAGAGAGACAGAAAGCTAGAAATCACCCCCCGGGGGGCGGAGGGATGGCCATGCCGCAGTCCCTTCTGCATTCTCCTCTCGGGATCTTGGGCACGCACACACACGTACCCGGCATGAGTTTAAGCCACCAGGTCTGGGACTTGAACTATGGTCAGCTACATGGGAGTCCAGCGACATAGCCATTACGCTAACTGCTGCCCCCCCCTTTTGTTTCTTGACAGAATGTGTCTAGTTTCTCAATCTGTGCAGTACAAGTAGAAATACACAAGGTTTTCCACAGTGGCCTGCTCTGCTAAGAGCACCTGCAGAGGAGGTGACAGGCACTGTTACAGTAGAGATTTCACAGCACACTTCCTGAGGATGAGCACCCTAACATTATGAAAGGGGTATTATGTGTTTAAAATGAACATCACAGGACTGGAGATACAGGGCCTGTGACTAACTCCTGTTCGCCTATGAGAACGTTTATCACTGGAGTTAGACTTACCATGTTGGTTCTTGACTTTGTGTTCAGCCTTTTCTCATGGTTATACTATAAAATACTGGTGAGAAATTCTGTAAGCTATGAGAATGTATCAGTGGTCAGAGTATCTACTGGAAAATGAAGTGGAAGTGAGATAAGCTAAATGATGATCCAGCCAGGATTAAGAACTTCCTGAGATTGGAAACAGTCATTCTGAAGATTCAGTTGGAGTTGACAGTGATCCAGAAAATGTATAATGTATTGAGGAAATTTGCAAAGGTCAGTTTCTCACAGGATACAAAACTGATAGCCCAGTTCCAGGTTAATAGTGTCAACCACCGCTAGCATATTTGATTCGATGACAGTTTACACTCGCTAAATGACAGCTATTCTGGCTTTGGATTGGGATCCTGTGTTGAAAATGCCACTGGAGGATTTGGAAATATGAGTGTAGAATATTGAAACTTCTTTAAAAATCTTTTGTGAAAGTAAATGGTTGCATGGAAACTTTTTCAACAATAGAAGACCAGGATGACCATCTTGGGTGTTATCCAAACGGTTAAGAAGCCACTAAGAAATTGGATTTCTAATCTGTGCCTCCAGTAGTTGTATCCTAAGTGATATTCTTCCAGTAGATGCCTGAGAAACCTGTTGAAGGTGATTTTTGATCAATGACTTCGTTATCAAAGAATTCCTACTTATCCAAATGCAAGTCCTTGGCCTTGTAATTAGGTTGCTGTTCCCAACCACTGCGGAGGGATGCACTGTATGCTTTTGCAAGGAGTAACTGTGGTGGAGAATGGGATCTTTGATGACTGCACAGTCTCAACTGCACCTGAAGGCCAAATTGTGTTCAAAGCAGTGTATGTACCCTACCGGAGATAAGAGAGAAGACTCTTCTGGTAGAACTGGCTTTCTTCCCTTCACGGGCATCTCATTTGGAAAGTGATCAGATTGCAGTCGTAATGACACTGATATAAAAAGTGAAAAATAAGCACACTAATGAAGGTCCTTCATGCCAGAAACGAGAGACTTTCATGCAGGTGGTATCTGTTCAAGTGATGATGTCACCCACATTACAACAGAAGTCCTTCACTGGGAGTTTCAGATAACTAAATGTAAATCCTTTATCCCATTTTAACCAGTGCAGTCCTTGAAGTGAGACACAATGAAAACTTAAATAGGTCTTTCCAATCCTTTTGTCATCTGGAATTACTCACTGCATATATAAAAATGCAGAAATAAGTTTATGTAAGTTCACATTTCTGATTTTAAAAGACTGAAAGGATATTTAGATCGTAAAGTTAGTATTTACTGTTTCCCTCAGTGCAGTGTGTTCGGTGTTTCTGATTGTAAGTAGATAATAGAATGAATTTCTCCAGTAGGCTCCACATTTCTCCCACAGTCCCCTTGCCCAGCCCAGATGAGGCTGTTTTCTGTATATGCCATTTCGGCAGAGCTTGGGCAGTTGGTTGGCCTTTCCAGATCCTCTCAGTGTTCTTTTACCTGCCTTTCTGGAAGCTCGCCCACCGCCCTGAATTCATCATGCTCTTCTCCAGGCTCCCACCAGGATCTGTGTGTATTGGTTCTTCTGTTAGAGCATTTAAGGGCACCAAACTCTTTGGCATCCTGGCAGCTCTTGCCTGGGAAACCATTACCATCCAACTGCCCCAAGTATGTTCAGGCTTGTGGCTTTCCTCCTATTCAGTTTCTCAGTGGACTCTCACATGCACAATGTAGGACTAACATGTTTCAAGCAGAGCTGGAAAAAAGGGACACAGTTATCTTTGTTAAAGGGAAAAACCCTAAACATCTGAAAAAGAAAAAAACGAACTAACCAACACCTACTGGAAACCTACCTCCAAGCAGAAAGGAGCGAAGCTTGGGTGCCATCTAGTGGAAATGGATTGGATCAACTGCTTAACCTTTAGTTCTTTCCTAAAAATCTTATAGTCAGTTTTGGTTAGACAGAAAATTTGTTCAATTTAAATCTCTCTCTTTTGTTAAGCACTCACTGAAAATGACCGAGACAGCCAGTCACCATTAAAGAACCCTCTGTTGTCGACGTCAAGACCCCTTGTTTTGGGGAAGTCCAATGGCAAGTACCTCTTTCCAGTGCTCTCTTCTCCTGGGCAGACACCGCTGCTTCCCACTCTTGCTGCTTCTCCCTCACTGGGTGGATTCACATAGCCCTCTGCTTTCGGAAGCCTGCCTAGTGGAAGTGCTGGTGGGTGACTGCTCTACCCCCACCACCAAGTCCCTTTATCTTTTCTTGCTGTTCCTGGGTCCTCTTGTAGCAAGTTCTTCAGCTACCTAAGCCCCTCATCCCCCATCCATGGTAGATTAGAAAACAAACTCTGCAGTTAAATCGCTTTTCAGCTTTATATAGAACTTTAGTGGAGTTCCTGCTGTATTTTTTGCTTTCATTGAATTAAACTATGTATTTTCCTTTGTCTCAAGGTGATGCAGTTGATTATCAGAAACAGCTGAAGCAGATGATTAAGGATTTAGCCAAAGAAAAAGATAAAACTGAGAAAGAGTTGCCCAAAATGAGCCAGGTATGAATTTTCTTCTGTGCAAAATGAACTGTTTCCCCAAATTACTTTGTCAGATGACTGATTTGATCGTTAAGCTTGAGTCCCTCTACCTCCAGTCAAGGATCTCATAACTTCTGGGAGAACACTGGCAATTAAGAAAATATTTAAATGTGACTTCAGATACTTAGATACTCCAGATAGATACTCAGAGCTTTCAATAAGGAGGCTGCCACACTCAATGTTTTTGAGGTTTTATATCAAATGTTATTTATCCAGGTGGTGAGGACTGGTGAGGGTGATACAAGTATTTGGGGCCACTGTGGATACAGTATTCTTTCATGAAAGAGTATTAGCATACTATTACGACTACATAAAACATAGTATTGATAGGAGTCTCTAAAACCTGAGCATTTTCCAGGAAAGGTCCAATGCTCCACTCAAGTGCCATATGATGGTGGTAGTTTTTGTTTGAGCAATGTAGGCCTAAGGTAGAAATGTTCCTTTATTATAGGGCTTGGTGTTGTGTACTGTGTACCTTCAAGAACAGAACTCAGTGTGCAATGTTTTTCAGCTTCTTTTGACCACAAAACATTTTCAAGGATTAGTATGCTATAGCGTATTTGGGAAATGTTGCTTTTCTACTGTTGGGCAATTGATTTCAATTTCATTCTACTTGGGAGTTAAATCTCATTACCTAGAGTTGTCAGTACTAACATTCTGATGTATCGAACACTGTGTTGTCCAATGCAGTCTTGTAAAATGTCTATTATGTTGTGGAATGGCTAAATAACAGTCATTAAAGAGACAAAGTGAGGAATCACTCCCAAGTGGGATGGTCATGCTATAATCTCTTTCATTCTCATGATTTTGGGAATGCATACACATGAACCTGCTATGATTTTCAAGCTGCTGGGTCCAGGGCTTGAACTGCAGTCAACCATATGGGAGCCTAGCACCTTAACCATTAACATTCTGATGATTGAACAGTGTGTTGTACAATGCAGTCTTTTAAAATGTGTATTATGTTGTGGTGGTAACTTGCTAATCTAATTGATAAAAACAGGCCAATACTTGGTCTTACTTCAATAGTTATTTTCTCCAAATCATCATCTACTTGTTAAAATCCTCAACCATTTTCCTACTCCTATAGTAACTGTATCTAAATCCCACCTAAAGCACCTACATTAGATTCTCAGTTCTGGGACCAGCAGATGACATAATGGTTATATTGCTGGACTCCCATGTAGTCAGCCACGGTTCAAGTACCAGACCTGATGACCTGAAACACAGGGCACGTGTGCATGTCCAAAGTCCCTGGAGAAGGGATTGTGGCATGGCCATCCCTCCTGGGGTGTGTGTGTGATTTCTTGCTTTCTGTCTCTGTGAAAGAGTATTAGCATACTATTACGACTACATAAAACATAGTATTGATAGGAGTCTCTAAAACCTGAGCATTTTCCAGGAAAGGTCCAATGCTCCACTCAAGTGCCATATGATGGTGGTAGTTTTTGTTTGAGCAATGTAGGCCTAAGGTAGAAATGTTCCTTTATTATAGGGCTTGGTGTTGTGTACTGTGTACCTTCAAGAACAGAACTCAGTGTGCAATGTTTTTCAGCTTCTTTTGACCACAAAACATTTTCAAGGATTAGTATGCTATAGCGTATTTGGGAAATGTTGCTTTTCTACTGTTGGGCAATTGATTTCAATTTCATTCTACTTGGGAGTTAAATCTCATTACCTAGAGTTGTCAGTACTAACATTCTGATGTATCGAACACTGTGTTGTCCAATGCAGTCTTGTAAAATGTCTATTATGTTGTGGAATGGCTAAATAACAGTCATTAAAGAGACAAAGTGAGGAATCACTCCCAAGTGGGATGGTCATGCTATAATCTCTTTCATTCTCATGATTTTGGGAATGCATACACATGAACCTGCTATGATTTTCAAGCTGCTGGGTCCAGGGCTTGAACTGCAGTCAACCATATGGGAGCCTAGCACCTTAACCATTAACATTCTGATGATTGAACAGTGTGTTGTACAATGCAGTCTTTTAAAATGTGTATTATGTTGTGGTGGTAACTTGCTAATCTAATTGATAAAAACAGGCCAATACTTGGTCTTACTTCAATAGTTATTTTCTCCAAATCATCATCTACTTGTTAAAATCCTCAACCATTTTCCTACTCCTATAGTAACTGTATCTAAATCCCACCTAAAGCACCTACATTAGATTCTCAGTTCTGGGACCAGCAGATGACATAATGGTTATATTGCTGGACTCCCATGTAGTCAGCCACGGTTCAAGTACCAGACCTGATGACCTGAAACACAGGGCACGTGTGCATGTCCAAAGTCCCTGGAGAAGGGATTGTGGCATGGCCATCCCTCCTGGGGTGTGTGTGTGATTTCTTGCTTTCTGTCTCTGTCTCTCCAGTGAGCACACATACTTCATACCAAAAATCCGTTAAAAAATTCTCAATTTCAGCACTATCTGTAACTTAAGAAAACTTGAAGCATCACTCTTTTCACTTTACCTTTAGGTCCTGCATGGTACTCCCACCAGGTGAACATGCCAAAACTTTAGCATTTCAGCTGTTTTCAGTGGTTTCCCATTTGTCTTTATTTATGCATGCATGCTGAGGGCATTTGTGTGCACACACGAGTGCATGCACACTCAACCAATGGGGGCTGGCCAAACTTTTTTCTTAGTCTCCATCCCACCGTATTCCTGGCATTCATGCCTTTTTCCCTCCAAGCCAACAGGGCCAGGACTCACAGCCTGGTCAGCCATATGGGATCCAAGTTCCTTTAACAGTGCACTATGAGGCCAGGTCCAATGTTTTTCTATTACAAACTCTAGCTTAAACTTAAAGGACATTTCTAGTTTCTTTAGAATATTCCTACACGTTGACTGGTTGACCAAAAAGGTGCACATCCTTTTGGAAGGTCTACACATTTCTTAATAATTACTTTAAAGAAAAAAAGCACACTTTCATCATTAACAAGTGTTTTGAGTGAAAAGACAATTCTGCTTGCAAAGATGTGGCGTTCTCCAAGAACAAAGTTTTACTACATCAGTCTCTGGTTATGCTGTTTTATGTGGACTTTCTTTTTGATTCCAGAGAGAATTTATCCAGTTTTGTAAGACTCTGTACAGTATGTTCCATGAGGACCCAGAAGAAAATGACTTGTATCAGGCCATTGCCACAGTAACCACTCTACTGCTGCAGATCGGGGAGGTGGGGCAGCGCAGCAGCAGCTCAGGAAGCTGCTCCCAGGAGTGCACAGAGGAGCTGCAGGCTTCAGCTCCTTCTCCTGAGCAGGACTCCGTCTTTGCAGACACTGGCAAGACTCCCCAGGATCCCCCGGCATTTCCTGTGGCAGAAGGGGACTGGACTGTCTCTCTTGAACATATTTTAGCGTCACTTCTGACTGAACAATCACTAGTAAATTTTTTTGAAAAACCACTAGAAATCAAATCCAAACTTGAAAATGCCAAGAGTAATCAATACAGTCTCAAAACGTTTGAAATGAGCCGCCAATCACAGCCTGAGTTCAAGTTGAGTAACCTTTAGCAAAAGAGCAGTTCACTGTGTGTGCTGTACACTGGAATCTGCAATACCAAAGCCCAGACCGGACTGCTCCTTGGGTTGTCCAGTCCATAAACCCAGACTTCAATTCACTGGGTACATCTCATGAGCTGGGTATCTAGACAAACAACCAGAGAGAGAACTGATGCAACCCCCACGCATTTCTATTTATTCTGTAAGAGAACGGTCAGTGGTTAGTGCTGCAGGGTATCAGTACCTGGATGCTGTGAATTCGTTTCACTTCTGTCAGATGTGCTCAAAGGGGATGCTTCTGCTGTGGACCTAGCAAGGTTTTGTTCTCAGTTGGAACAGAAGCATCAGATCTGTCACATGACTAAGAGACAGGCCCCAATTTTTGCTTGAGATAATGGGAGGTCAAGAATCAAACTTCAGTTTCAAGATCTAAGAGCGACTATCTGTGCAATTATATTTGGCTTTTTTTTGCACTAATTTTTGTTTCAATGCTGGTAATTGAAACCATTTTAATATATCTGGTTGTATTCACTTTGTATGTCCTCCCAAAATGTTGTGTACAAACCATGCTTTCAATGTTGGCCACCAAGTTTTTTAATAAATCTTTTTGTATTGACTTGGTCTTATCTTACACAATGTTCCAAATTTCTGATGGTTCTACTTTACAGTGGTGTGAAAGCAATACCCATTCAGTAGACACCATACTTTTGAGTACTCATATTTTAAACCATTGTTTTTCACTCAGTACAGTATGCAGTGAATTAAATGTTTAATACTTGGAGTAACATAGACAGAAGCAAAAAATATATTGCTGTGTTTATTGTAATAAATAACACTGCATTATTTTAGTTTCTTAAAATCTGAAAAATAGCCAATGGCAATTGAAGTCTACATGCTAGTTTACCTTAGAACAAAACACGCAAGCAAAAACATGAACATCTTACCTCCGATTTCCCAAATACCTACAATAGTGGTTCCCAAGGCAGACTGTACTGCCAAACCCTGTTTAGGAGCTGGCCCAAGGAACGGAGTCTAGGGCTGGGGAGGCAGTACAGGCACCAGTATATAAACTGCTCTCCAAATGACCCCCTAACTTGGAATTGCTTCAGGACACACACATGGTATTGAAACTAGTAAAGAAGAGCAAAACAAGAAATTGGTTTTATAACTTTATTTGAAAATCAGCAGTTAGTTCTCATCCACATTGACTGTTTGTAGATCTGCAAAAGAAACAAAAGCCAGTCAACTCCCATACCCACACATGACATTTCCTACTCAAACACCCCAAAAACCTTTCTAGGAGGGGCTGGAAAAGTACTAGTGGTCAATTCTTGGTGGCCTTTTAACAACCAGACATGGTCTATTTTGCATTTCCCCCCCTTTTCCATAATTTAAAAATTTCCACAAAGACAATTTTAAAAAGCTATGATTATGCCTGCTACTCATATCCCTGCTGGAAGGCTACCAGGATTACTGGTGCACAGGAGGTATCTGCTGAACAGGTTAATTCCAGTTACAAAGAAGGGTAAAGATGTTTTCCTAAAGTCACCTGAACAGCTTTGGTGGATGCAGTAAAACTTACTTTTGAATGTGGTAACAGGTACATAGGTCACCAGAGTATAGAGCTTGTTGGGTGAATCTTCATCCTCGTTTCGTTTTCTGGACAACCGCACACGGATTCGATATGGGACGTTCCTGGTAAAAATAGAAACATATTGCTAAAGTCAATGCCTCCTTTCAAGAGCCACCAGCTATCATATCCTGCTTCTATGCTCTGCTCTTTAATCTGATCAACCAGCCACTCACCAGTCCCCTATAAAACGCCCCCTTCCCCACCTAAACGCTAAACGTGGTCATCTCGAGGTAACACGAGATGTGTCAAAGCAGCCAGAGCTGGTATTTACCCTATTAATCCAAAGCACAATACATAGGTCCACGCTTGTAGGGTCTTTTGTCTTTACCGTAACAGAAGTCCTAGTAGGGGATTTTTCAACATTGAATCTAAATCTGGAGACACTGGAAACTCTGCAGGTTATATTTAACACAGAAGTCTGTTCAATTCTGTTTCTCTACTTTATGCACACAACCTTCACCCTATTGCACCCAGCTTCTGAGAAGCATTACAGTAGACAGTCTCTTTCCTTTACTGACCATAGGATGTGACAGGTGTTGTCCTAGCCTCGGCACTTCTCATCCCATTAGGGTTTAACTAGTACCCAGATGCAGACAGTTCCCCCTCCCAGGTCTCAGAACCACCAGTCTATGTCTACGCTATTGCTATTCCTCTAGCTAGTACCCCACTTTGATTCTGTACCCAACGATGTTCTTCATCAACATAAACCACCTTCGTCTCTCCACCTTAAAGCAGGGCATCCCAAGCTTGGCACTACTGGCATTTGGGCTGGATGCTTAGCAGGGTCCCTGGCCTGTATCAACTCCTAGTAGTGGCAATGAAAATCCCTCTCAAGGGTGATAGGTAGAACTGCCCCAGGCTAAGAACCACTGCCCTAATGGTAGGCTTCACATGTCTAAAGATGATCCCTCATGGTCTGACCCCCCAACTCCCCACCATCCTCATCCACTGAGCATCCCAGTCAATTTCACTCCAGCCTCACCACCTGCTCCAGACCCTATTTAGTCTGCTCATGCTATACTCTGCCCATTTTCACAGGGCTGGCTGCATTTGGGTCTCCCTCACACCACTTTAAAGGGCTTCCCTGTGGATACCAGCTCTCACTTTGAGGCACTGGTAGGTATTTGTTTCCTTTATATTCTTAAAATTTTCCATCTTTCTCACAGGAGAGAGATAGGCAGAGAGACAGACAGTATCCCCAATGCCACAATCCACCCCCAGATCAGGGACAAGCAAGCAACTCTTGTACTCAGGGAGGTCTCCAGATGTGAACCAGAATTCTCCCATGAGACTGCCTCTCAGAGCGTCATGTTTAACTGCTGCACCACTGTCCAGCCCCTCACAGTATTTACACTTCCACACGCAGTAACCAAACGACTGAACTCACGCAGACTACGCACAGTGAGCTAGCTAAGCTGGTGTCTCTGAAATCCCCTCTAACCATAGTACCTTATTCCTTTGGCCCAGACAGCTTTGTTGAGCCTGGTATCAATGCGCACATCTGGAGTCCCCATCTCTTTCATGGCAAATTTCCGGATTTCCTTGAGTGCCCGAGGGGCACGTTTCTTGAAGCCCCTGAGATCCAAACACAAATGAATTAACTAATTAAATGAGCACAAAATTAAATGAGATACATATAATGGCATGTCCATTTTCATAAAGAAAACCCTAATCCTCAGAGTAGGCAGGAACAATTTGTTTTCCCATCAGTACAATGCCCAACACCTAGTATAATACTTGGGACAGGATACATAATCCATCTTCACAGATGAAAATACCACCAAGTGTCCTCGGATTAATATGTGATTATAACCAGGTTCTATGTTGTATCTTATGACAGTACGTGTTTTTGACACAGATCTGACCAACACTACTAACTCATGCTTAAAAGCAGGGGCTTGAAATGTACAGACTTTCTCTCCAGTGTTGAAGACAGTAGTTAATTTTGTGGAGCCCTTAGTATGTCAGGCCAATTGTTCTGAGAGCATTAACTTATGACTTCAAAATCCTGAGTTAGTACCCCTTTTCTTTTTTTATTCTTTTTTGAGAGGTTTTTGCTATAGGGTACATGTGCTCACCAGACAGCTTTGTTGAGCCTATACAGAGCAGGGAGGAGACAGCCTTAGGGAAGTGGACTACAAGCTTCAGTTTAAGATGGCAAAGGTGACACTGAACAAGGTCTGAATACATGCATACAACTTGGGTAGCATGTTTCAGGGATGTTTGGACAGGGGAACAGTAAGGAGCTGCTACTGTCACCACTGGTGTGAGACAAGGGGGGGTATGACTGCAAATCAGATCAACTGGTCATGTCATGGGTGTATTCAAAGGGTAGAGCCCAGAGGATGTACTAATTGCTAATGAATAAAATAGAGAATCCACAAGAGGAACAGTCTGAGGGGGGTGGGGGTGGAGACAGCCACCAGGAGCTTGGTGGGACCATGTGCAGTGTGAAACACCTACAAGAGATGTCAAACAGCAGCTGGGTGTTTGAAGCCCCATCTGGGTTGCTATTCCCAAGTACAGACAGAAATGGACTAAAGCTGGGACCACCTCGACCTTAAGAGGAATGGAGACCGAGGAGCAATTAGTAAAGTAGCAAAAAGGACAACAGGACTGTGGAACCACCGGACCTCCCGTGGGACTTTTCCAACCGAGTACAAGATGCCAAGGCCGGAAAATCTCCTCCTGCAGAGCTTTCACACACTCTCACGTGTGGGGCTTTTAAAACCGCACCCGACTTGCACTTGCCACCTTTTAACTAAACAATTTCTTACTAAATCCTTGTCTACCCTCCCCACCATTGCTGACCGGCGCCTGCTGTGCACCCCCAGGTACATATGCAGGTCCCACATGAAGTGCTAGGCAGGGAGCCCGGTTCATCACAGGCAGGGTAACCCCTGAAAGACACTGACTTCAGACCCAGAAGTGATCTCACAGACCCCAAATAAGACTACACACATGACGTCCCTCAACAACACACTAGCCCTTGGCTGGGATGCCATGCCCAAGGCAAATGCTGCCATGCTTTAAATCCCTGGCTACATTAGCTGCTCTGAGAGTCTGCTTGGCCAAGTGCAAGAATTCCTGCTCCACTTTCGGGTGCCTGAACCCTGTATAACGTTCTCCTAGTAAGAACCCCCCAGTAACAGCACATGTGAAGTAAGACATGTATTCTCCAGCAGTGAGCACCCTGGGCACACTGGGAAGGACCTTATCAAACACAAACCTCACAGAAAACCAAGAACTAGGCCACCCCAAAGAATCCCATGAATTCCTGCAGGTCACATACCCACAACCACGGACCACTCGTGTTTCTCCTGGTCATTTTTGCTTCTAATATTAAAACTCAGCCAGTATTAGTACCCCTCGGTGTGGTCAGAGCACGAAAACAATCCCTTTCAAGTGTTCGCATTGTGGCATGGACACAGCTTCTTTTTCTCTTTTTTTTTTAACTGCAATTTTCCTAAGGCCCAGAGTTAATGGTGTTCCTCTTTTTATTACTAAAATGGAATATTTTCCAAAACTGACTTCTGGAAACCTCCTCCAGTCAAGCGCAACTTCTCCCGTCGTAAACCTGGAAGCAGCACGCTGCGACCTCCGCAAACCCCACGCACGGTACACACGACACAGAACTGGGGGACACCAGAGGCTCCAGGACCACCTGGCCTCTCTTCGATCCGGCAGACGCCCGAGTGACAACCAGCCCCGAGCTCGCGAGCGCCGAGCCCACGGCAAGTCTACTCACACGCCATGGATGCGCTTGTGAATGTTGATGGTGTATTCCCGGGTCACCACCTCGTTGATGGCAGAACGGCCCTTCTTCTTCTCGCCACCCTTCTTTGCGGGAGCCATCTAAACGCCGGCGACAAGGAGGCTCAGAGTGGAGTGGGACATGCCCGTGCCAAGTCCTCCCTCCGGGCGAGGCCTCGCGCGGCCTCCCCTGGGCGCGGTGGGTGCGGAGGCCGGGCAGACCCCCACAGTCCACGTCTGGGTAAGGCCAAGACTGGAGCCCAAGCATCCGCGCCCGAGACGCCACCGACCCGGAAACTCCTGCGGCCCCAGCTTCCCTAAGCCCGATCACTCCCTCCCAAGCTCTGCAGCCCTTAAACGCAGCACGGATCCCGATCTCCCCGGAACACGGAGTCCCAGGCGACTTGGCAGGGACCCCGCCGTCCCAGCAGCATAGTGCACAGGGAGGATGGAGCCGGATTCCCGAAGCCAGAACCCCGCCAGCCATACTCACTCTGCCGGGCCTAAGCTGGAAAGAAAGAACGCAGAGGATTGTGGGAGGAGGAAAGCCGGGCCGTAGGCACAACTTCCGGGTCGCCCGGCGGCCAGAGGCGCGGCTGTGACGTAGATAGCACGCGCCAGGGTAGGAGTGGGCAGGGCTGCGCTCCACGGAGCAGTGAGGCCGCGAGTTCGCTTCTGTCTACCCTGGGCATCTTTTAGCTGGTTTTCCTCCAGTTCTGCGGGAAGGCATTTGTGCTCTTTTGTCTAAGTCTTCGGAGGAAGCTAGAACCCAGGCCCATCGCTGGATGGGACTAGGGCCAGGGAGAGGAAACGCTCTTGTGTTTTCCCAGTCATTCACTCTTGCGTTCAACCAGCGTTTACTGCGCCTGTGTCGGCGTGGTCCTCGCGTCCCCCTGCGCTCTCGTCGCGCAAGGCAGACCTCTGATGGGGGTCGTTGCTATCCTGGGCGGAAAGGAGCGGAGGCGAAGTGGGAGAGGGCGAACATGGAAAGGAAATCTACAAACTGTCAACCCTCAGAAGTCAACTCAGTAAAGGCTGGACAGACATTTAATAAACGTAATTTGGTTGGAAGCCGGGAAATCATTAGCCTGCCTGGGACGCTCTCAGGCCGGTGACTGCTGGGCCCGCAGAGACCAAAACCACTTAATGGGAACTGTGCTTTACAGCTCTCCTGGTAGCCGTAGTGATCACATGCCGTCTTACTTTTAAAAGTAAACTATCACTTTAAATGAGATGAAACAATCCTTAAAATGAAACAAGATCTGAATGCTCCCCTGTGGGGTAGGAAGAAAGGAGTGGACGGGCTGCATTCTAGTCCTCACCACTCTTAGGGGGCAACACACCCTATGGGCTGGAGGGGGTCCTACCTGGCCACTTTGCCTCGAGCTGAGCTCTAGGAAGGCCCGGTGGAACATGGCCAAGAAGCACCACTGAGACATTTTTAAAAGGAAAGGGGCCCAGTGCTCAAGGAAGGTGGGTCCAGTGGTGGTGTGCAGGGGTCTGAGGCTGGCCAGGAGGCTTGTTGCTGGGCCCTGGCTGCTATGGGGCATGGGTGAGGGGCAGAGAGGAGAGGAATGGCACAAGATGTCTTTGAAATGAAATCGCCATTTCAAAACGGATTTCACATGGCATGTCAATTTAGGAGAAAGTCTTAGCTAACAAAAACCACATTACAAAGGTAGGATATAATGTAATAGAGTCTAATCTGTTACACAGGAGCAATCAATGTGATTTCATGACCTTGTCGCTCTATACGACAGAATGATCCACTAACAGGAACAGAAACAGCACTTTCGCCCAGTAGTGCCCTCATTCTCATTCTAGGAACCCAGATTTTTAAAATAAAAAACCCTTAAACTAAAATTAATCAGGACTCCTTGCAGGATAAATTAACTGTGCATTGGGGCATGAAAAAACAAATCCAGGTGGGCCCTGATCATGTTGTTTCTAGAAGGAAACTTGAAACCTGATTTCCGATGAGCAATTTCTAAAAAGATATAAAGAAGCCAAATAAAGGGCAAAGGTCAGGCAGCAAGCAGGTGGTGTGGTCACCTGCAGTTTGAGCCCCAGACCTGATGGCTTGCTTTTCTCACTTTCCCTCTCTCTGGTGAGCACCCATGCCCTGTAGCAAATAAAAAATTAATGATAAATACAATGAAATAATCCTTTAAAAAAGAAAGTGCGGGTGGGAACCAGTAGTTAGTGTAATGGCTATGTTGCTGGACTCCCACGTAGTCGACCGCGGTTCGCGTCCCAGACCCGGTGGCTTAAAACTCAGGCCGGGCACGTGTGCATGCATGCCCAAGATCCTGAGAGGAGAATGGAGGAGAAGGGATTGCGGCATGATCATCTCCCCTGGGGGGGGTGATTCTCCTTTCTGTCTCTATGTCTCTCTCTCTCTGCCTGGCGAGCTCACGCGCCCTATAGCGAAAAACCTCTCCAAAAAAAAAAAAAAGTGCGGGCAAAACTCTCAAGTTGTGCAGAGAATCAAATAAAATCATAACAGTGGTTTATTACAAAGACAGGTTATAAGGAGCCATGAATTTATGGCTTCATGCTTTAAGATGTGGAAATGAAAAAAAGTAGGTATCATTTAAAAAGGAGTTAATGTAACAGATATGCCTAAATGTGGTTAGGCAAAATTTTGAAGAGTTTTTTTTTTTTTTTTTTCATTTCCAGTGAGCTGTTTTCCCCAGAAAAAATAAAGCTGTATGTGTAGTAGGAAGTTCATACATGTCTGTCCAAAAGCAATTAACATCATTTCTCTGGAGGATCCAAATTAGTTCCTTCTCTAGGAAATACATGCGGACTTTGAGACTTCAAGCTGTGTCTACACAAAATGAAGAGAGAAACTGAAGGAATTTGTACCACTCAGATTTTACCAGGTAATTTAGGCAAGAATGTAAAATGCCATGACTTAGAACTAACAGTCAGCCAGTTCAGGCAGGTTTTGTGTGTATAAGGCAATTTTTACATTAATGAACTTTATTGTCATTAGAGACAGAGACACTACATTTCAATTAAGTTGAAAATATCTTAAACTTGGCATACTCCAGAGTTTGCAATTTCAATCACTTCCTATAAGCCAAGACTTTATAGTTTTCTAAATAGAAAGGTTATGTTTTTTCTGGAAATAGGACAGGGTTATAAAACAGCCTTTTAATGAGCGAGATTTAATGAAGGAAGAGCTAAGGGATTATACTACCCATGATGTGTGTGGGTTTACAGAAATATTACACAATAAGAGATTCCTGAGTTTATCCAAACTGGGAACATGTGTAAGATTGCAACACAGCCACATTAAATTGGTAGCATGGTACACTCCATCCTCTTTTCATGGTTTCCAGTTAGAAAACCCTGGGATATGTACTGGGCCCATTAAAAACTTTGTTCTACTTAGAAGGATTTTGTCAGCCAATTAATTAAAAAATACAATTAAAATGCAACTTCATTTATAAAAATTCAGATCTATAAATATTTGAAATTACAAAACATGACATTAAAGAATTAGTTAATTCATGGGATCAGCAGATGGTGTAATGGTTATGTCACTGGACTCCCATGTAGTTGACTGCAGTTTGAGTCCCAGATCTAGGGACTTAAAACTCACACCAGGCATCTGTGTGTACATGCCCAAGATCCCAAGAAGACTGAAGAAGGGATTGTAGTGTGGCCATCCCCCCAGGGGGTGATTTCTTGCTTTCTATCTCTCCAGTGAGTGCATGTGTCCTGTAGCAAAAATCTCTTTAAAAAGTGAATCAAGTTTCACATAGTTTTTGTTTTAAAAAGGGGCTCATGGACCAGCCAGTAGTGCTGTGGTTAAGGGTTAAGGTGGTTGGATCCCACATGGCTGAAGGCATGATTTGAGTCCCAGACCCTTTGGCTTGAAAAACATGCTGGGCATATATACATGTGTGTCCAAACTCTCAAGAGGAGATAATGGAAGAGAAGAGACAGCAGTGTGGCCATCCTCCCTGGCCATTTTCTCACTTTCTCCCCCATCTTTCTGTCTTCTTCAGTGAGCACACATGCCTTGTAGCGAATTAACAACAACAACAAAAAAGTGGAGTGTCATTTCTGGTTCCCTAAGGGAGCAAATGTTCCTAGTGCATGCAAAATATTTGAACTTGCTTTTGTTTTGTTTTTTTTTTTCCTGGACCATGGAACAAGGTTTTGTCTATCCCATTTACAAAGGAGGTGGAAGTGTGGAGCTAGTGATGGAGCAGGAAAGGAACTCTCTCTCGGGCCTGGTCTTGGAAAGGGCCTTGCCATTCCAGTGGTTCTCAGCCACAGTATACCTCCAGAAGGCTGGAGGCAGGCAGGTTCAGGGCTGGAGCAGGGGCTCTATGATCTCATCAGGAACCTGGGTCTTTGCATCCTACAGGAAGGTAGGGTAATGCAGAGTCATTAAGATTAGGATATTTGCACTGGCAGAAACTTTTTTTTAATTGCACACGTGTGCGTGTGTGTGTGTGTGTGTGTGTGAGAGAGAGAGAGAGGAGAGAGAGAGAGAGAGAGTGCACCCTCAAAGGGGCATAATCATGCCTCAATATTTTTTCCTTTATTCCTCCTTTCTCTCAGCATTTTGGGCAGGCATGCACACATGCCTGGCATGTTTTTCAAACTGCCGGGGCTGGTACTGGAACCATGATTGGCTATGTGGGATCTGGTTCCCTTAACTGCCGAGCTATGGGGCTGGCCTGGAAGAAACTTTTTAGATGCAGTTGCTATGTCACTCCCAACTTGATGTGTGTGCACACATCTTTTTCTTTTATGATAAGAGAGTGTCCATGCAGGAGGGAGAGACAGAAGGGAGGGAAAATGAACTTCTTTGAGAGTGTCTCATCACACTTGATTCCTGTTCCCCAGCCCTCCAGCTCCTCAGGATCCTGGATGCCCACTGCACGCCCGGCATGTCTTCAGGCCAACCCAGGAACCATATCTCATCTAGCCTTGCAGGTTACTTGTGCCACTGCTGTGCCACAGCAGCTGGGCCTGTGCACACATTTTACACACATGATGCGCACACCACCTGCCCATGTGACTGGTATGTTAGCAGTGAGAGCCCCTGGAACTCCAGCCTGGTGAGCTAATTTTGGGCTTTGAATGAATGCTTTGATGGAGGATGTCTTGGTCATCTCTACAGATCATCTGTCTTCAGGTTGCAATGTCCCCAATAACTTGGAGTGTCTTTGATTATTTTGCTATCATTTCTACATAAACCATTGTTTCTGTGGCACAAACTTGAAGGATCAGGAACATGATGGGCAAATGCAGGCATTCAACTCAAAAACCTGAATGCCATCACCAGGCTTGTGGGTCGTTTGCGTCACATGTTCCACATCTTAGATGGTTGTTGAAACATCTTGAAATTAGAAAAAAAGTTCACCCATGAAAAGACATATGCATGGGGCCAGCAGGTGGCGTGGTGGTTGGGTTGCTGGATTCTCACATGGCCAACCATGGTTTGAAGCCCAGACCTGATGGCTTGGTTTCTCACTTTCCCTCTCTTTCTCTCTTTCTGTCTCTGTCTCTCTGGTGAGTGCATGTGCATGCCCTGTAGCAAAATTACAAAGAAAATAATAATGATGATAATAAACCATTTCTTTTTAAAAAGATATATGCATGCATGTATAACAAGGGACAGAGGAATTGTACAAATTCGTTAATTTATTACAAAAAGTTCACTCACAGAAAAACACAAGAAAACTTTTATACTTTTATATTTGGGAAAGGAACTGGTGTCTCAGATACAAAATAATTTACACATAATCCATACAATTTTATTTTATATAGAAATAGGTCATTATTACAACAGCTGTACAATTCACTACCCTTCGTCTTATAATTACATAAAATCTTTTCTTTAGAAACTTCTCAACATAACAAAACATACAAAAAAGAAAAAAAGCAAAGTGCATTTGAAAAGGAAAGCCCAATCCTCAGTATTATCATGAAAGATATGTAGAAAGATGCAGCATTCTCACTCAAAGGGCCGACATGGTGGGGCTTCTGCGGGGACCAGAGCTCCCCCGGCCTGCCTGGCGTGTGAAACCTCTCCCCTCAGAGTCCTAGCAGGTTCTCAGCAGAACCCTGCAATTCGAGCGGGATGATTGTGCTTTGCTCTGAGTCTAACTTTGTAGATGCAACCAACGAAGTAAACAGGAAACTGTCCAGTGTTTTATTGGGGAGAAAAACTCACCACCAGCCAGGCATGGGGTGAAGAGCTCATTCTGACAGGGTTCGGGCTGGAGGGGGTGGATCTAAGCGTGGTTAAGAGCAACCAGCTTCGCTATCTGACAGGTGGGCTGCTTTTGTTACTGTGGTCTCCAAATGAAGTCAGGAGACCTTATTATTTTTAACAACAGAAAGTGCCTAAGTTATTTCCTCTGTGCAGCTGTGCAAATTAAAACAAAAACAACCATTTAAAATATGAAAAATAATCTCTTTATTCTCTCTCTCTAATAGATCTCTGACCCAGTCCTTCTCGAATGGAAAGGAAAGCCGGTCAAGACAGCGAAGGCCACCTAGCACGTGTGGACGGGCCACAGTGGGCTAGAGAGACCGTGCGCTCTCGGGCCGGGTGCTGCGCGATACTCCATCTCCGAAGGTCTATGAGTGAGGATGTGGCACGGGGCACTCAGTTCCCGTCCAGTATGGCTGTAGAGTGTTCCCGAGAACCTTGGAGACCGGAGGAATGTGACCAGTGTCCCTGCCCGTTTCCCACTGTGGCAGCCGCTGCACTCCGGAGCTGGCGACCATCAGGAGGCCCGAAATGTACACCGTGTGCGCCAGCACCAAGGGTCCCATTCGCACTCCTCTCCCCGTCTCCCAGGCTGCCCCCTCGTCCATTGGTTAAAGCTGATTGTCCCGACTGCAGGGCCAGGGCACTACCGGGGCGGCTGCTGGAGGTTGGACGGCTCAGACAGACTGCTGACCCTTCGGGAAGGGCGTGGGGGCTGGGGCTGCGAGGGGGGCGGGGGTGCGTAGGCCAGGGTCCCTGGCTGCTGTGAGTAGGTGGAGAGAAGTAGCGAGTCCTGCTGCTCACCGTGCAAGGGTGTTGGCGCCTGGACCTGGGAAGGAAAGAGAGAGGGTCCAGAGGAGGTTCTGTGACTCACTGGCCCCCTCCAGTGGTGGGGAGAACCGGGCCATGCTGCCATGCTGTCAGACTACAGCATGCTCCTCCTGTGGTGGGGTCACACGGAGAGCCGGCAGACAGCACACCACCTGGTGGTGTGGTGGAGAAGCCCTAGGCTCTACCAGGTGGGGTGACTGCTGAGGCCCAGTCTCTGTCCACACTGGAGTCCTTCTGGCACAACAGGCCTGGCACTGGGGCTCAGGGAATGGGTCCATAAACATGTGCCCATGAGCTACATGTAGCCTGCATGTATCAGGGTGACAGAGCCGGAGAACGCGTGCAGTAACACAGGGCGGAATCCAAATACACACAGTCTGTGCACCTTCTGCTGCCGGTCCCTGACCCCCAGCTCATTCCCAATTCTGCCATTCCCCAGCACCTCTTAGGAAACAACTTGCTCTGAAGTTAAAGAACTTCAACTGGTCCAAGCCTGACTTTGGAAGCTTCAATCTTCTCTCCCCCTTCCTTGTCCATTCCTCCTCCTCTATTTTTTTTTTGAGAGGTTTTTTTTGCTATAGGGCGCGTGCGCTCGCCAGACAGACAGAGAGAGACATAGAGACAGAAAGCGAGAGATCACCCCCCAGAGGGGGTGGTCACGCCGTAATCCCTTCTCCTCCATTCTCCTCTCGGGATCTTGGGCAGGCACACACACGTGCCCGGCGTGAGTTTTAAGCCACCGGGTCCGGGACGCAAACCGTGGTCGACTACGTGGGAGTCCCGCGACATAGCCATTATGTTAACTGCTGGTTCCCCTTCCTCCTCTTTTTAAGAAAGATTTTTGCTATAGGGTGCATGTGCTTGCCAGAGAGAGAGAGAGAGAGAGAGAGAGAGAGAGAGAAAGTAAGACATCACCCCCTACGAGGGATGGCCATGACACAGTCCCTTCTCTTCCATTCTCTCGGGATCTTGGGCACACACACACATGTGTCCAGCATGAGTTTTAAGACACCAGATCCAGGACTCAAACCACAAGCAACTACATCGGAGTCCAGTGACGTAACCATTACGCCATCTGCTGGTCCCAGCTGCCCCTGCCTTTAAAGCTGCCCCTGCACTTTGGCTCAGGCTGTCTTGCTGGAACACTGTCCCCTTGCCTTCACTCCTCCTCCCACATTTGGGCATATCCTGGGGCATCAGGTTCTGCTGCAGGCACCTCCTGACCCTCCTCCTCTCAGAGTCTCTTCCTCCACAAAGGCGTTCCTGCCACAGTGCTCCTGCTTCACACAGAACCACAGCCCGACTGCACACTGCTAACTCCACGCAGCCAGCAGGCTGAAGAGCTCTGTATGCTTAGCCTACATCTTGCATGCAGCAGGTGCCTGCAATGCATCTGTTGCTACCACCAAACAAACATGCAGGAGACTTCTCAGGCTCCCCTACACCATCCCTGCCTTCTCACACATCATTTTCTTTTTTATTTTTTTGAGAGGTTTTATTTTATTTCTTTTTGGCTATAGGGCACATGCGCTCGCCAGAGAGAGAGAGAGACAGAGAGACAGAAAGTGAGAAATCACCCCCCCAGGGGGGCTGGCCATGCCGCAATCCCTTCTCCTCCATTCTCCTCTCAGGATCTTGGGCACACACACACATACACACCCACTGTGTGTTTAAGCCACCGGTTCCGGGATTTGAACCGCGGTTGATGACATGGGAGTCCAGCAACATAGCCATTACGCTAACTGCTGGTCCTGCTTGAAGTAATCTTTGCCTTGTCAGTAGTGACCACACATAAATGTGTTCCAAATTTTCCTGGCAAGTTCCAATTTCATACAACATTATCATATTTATTAAAAAAGTGCAATGGATCTTTAACTAAATATGATTTAATTTTGCCTGCATATAAGACTTTGTCTATAAACACACTAAAAGTCCAACAAACACAGTCATCAACATCTGATTTTTGCTTAAAAAATATGGATATATCAAGATGCAAAATCTCGATAAGAATTACTTTAAAAAATGGACCATCATAGCTGATTCTTAATTTCTCGTATTACACACATACACACATATATATCATAAATCTTAAGAATTAAAATGATCAAACATAAATCTTCCTGGGGCTTATTTCTAGACTAGGGACAGAATGCAAAGCAAAGATGGGAAAGGCCTTTTGGTATTCAGGCTCTGGGGCTTTGCTCTGTCTCCCTAGACCACTCGGGGCCCTGCTGGGCTGGCACCCACCTGCAGGTAATGCTGTGGTTGCTGCTGCTGGGCTTGTGCGGGCTGCAGGGATGATGGCTGGGAGGTGGGGAAACTGGGGTGATGCACGGCCTGCCCCATCAGCAGAACAGGAGTTGAGGCGCTGCTGCTAGCGGGATGCACATCTGGATTGTGAAATATAGCTTGACTCTGTGGATACCTGTTTGTTTTCATGTAGAAGGAGAAAAATATCCCTTAAGAAAGAGGAATTGATAAGGCTTCCAAAGCACAAGTAACGAAAGAGAGAGAGAAAAAAAGGTAACATGGACATTATTAAACCCTTTTATACGTCAAAGGTCACTATCAATAAAGGGAAAAGAGAACCCACGGAATGAGAGAAGTTTTTCGCAAATAATATATCTGATGAGGAATTGATACTCAGAATATACAAAGAATTGCTACTGCTTCCCAACAAAACCAAAAAAACAACTCAACACAAAAAAAAGGGCAACGGGCTCCAAAGGACATTTATCCAAAGAAAAGATACAGATGGCCAATAAGCATGTGAAAAGATGCTCAACATCACTAGTTATGAACAAGTGTGAGGGAAGATGGGAGAGAGAAGTTGGAACGCAGACGCTAGTGGTGGGAATGTGTGCTACTACTGTGGAGAACAGTATGGGGAGTCCTCAAAAAAAAAAAAAATCAAACATAGAATTACCTTATGATCCAGCAATTCCACTTCTGGGTATACACCCAAAAGAACAGAAAGCAGGGACTTGAACAGATATTTGTATATCCATAGAAATATTATTTATAGGGACCAGCAGTTAGCGTAATGGCTGTGTCACTGGACTCCCACGTAGTCGAGCGTGGTTTGTGTCCCTGACCCAGTGGCTTAAAACTCACGCCGGGCGCGTGTGCGTGCGTGCCCAAGATCCCAAGAGGAGAATGGAGGAGAAGGGATTGCGGTGTGGCCATCCCCCCTGGGGGGTAATTTCTTGCTTTCTCTCTCTCTGTCTCTGTCTGTCTGTCTGGCAAGCACACGTGCCCTATAGCAAAAACCTCTAAAAAAAAGTAGACTATTTATAATAGCCAAAAGGTGGAAACCAGGCCGGTAAGCATTGATGATGAATGGATAAAGCAATGTAGCATATATAATGGAACATTATTCAGCCTTAAAAAGAAAATTTTTTGGCACATGCTACGACATGGATGAATCTTAAAGACATTATACTAAGTGAAATAAGCTAGTAACAAAAAGAAAATATTGCAATGATTCCTCTTCTATGAGAGACCCATAATAATCAAATTCATCGAGACAGAAGGTGTGGTTACCAGGGGGTGGGGCTAAGGAAACAGGAAGATGGAACCATTCTGGAGACGGATGGTGGTGGTGGTTGCACGACTGTGTGAATATACTTAATGCTGAATTGTGCATGTAGATATGGTTGAAAGGGTCCAGTGACAGTGGTGCAGCAGAAGTGCAAAACTCAGCCATAGTAGAAGCCATGTAAAAGATCGGGGTCCCAGGTCGACTTGTACACACTGAGCCCGCATGCGCTTAACCGTCATCCTGACTGGTTGAGAGAGGCTGGGGTGGACGGTAGCATGTGACCCTGTTGAACATGCCTTTCTCTCTCTCGAAATAAATGAACTTTAAAAAATGGTTAAAATGGTAAATATTATGTATATTTTCCCACAATTAAAGAACAGAAAAGAAAGGGGTTGATAAGAATGACCCATTAATTAGGGCTGGAGAAGTGCCATTTAAGAAAGGTCTGGATGATTCTAGATGCTCAGAGGCACTATAAGGAGGCCTCTTGCGTTGTGTTTTTAGAGCTGTTATTTTCCTTCATGGGGTCATCTGGAACAAGCACTGAGGGTTCAAATGTCTCCCGAGAGGGCCACTCTGTGTGGGAGACAGATCCTGACATGCCTGGAGGATAGTTGTTTGTGTTGGGAAGGGACAGTTGGGGAGATGGGCAGGTATAAATTATTAGTTTGAGTTCTCAAAGCAATGTCCAGTTTTGCCTTATTCACAGCATTTTGCACATCTTTGAAACGTGATGTAACAAGAATGATTGTTTCCACTTATTGGGATCATTAGGAAGAAATGACAAAATCCAGACGGAAGCACAACTCCCCTTCTGAAGTATGCACATGCACCGAGGACCTTAAAGCCAGCTTCTTCAAGCGCATGCCTCTCCTCACCCTCCGTGACCAAAAGGCGGGCCAGAAGGTCTCAAGGGACACAGGCTACTGGGAAAGTTGTTCAGAGGCTGTGGGGAGACCTGAGGCAGGGCCAGCAGGGTGGTCGTGAAAGACTCAGGGAGCCAAAAGGCACCTGTGCCCTGAAGTCAGCTGGCTATGTAGTCTGCCTTCGAGAAGGCCCCTCAAACCCTCAATGCTCAGCTTCTTTATTGGTAAAGAAGGAGCAGGTGCCACATCCTCGGGCTTTTATTCGATCAAATGGGTGAGTACCGCCAGGCCCTGACCCTCAGCAATGCTCGGCCACGGTGCCTTTCCTACTAATAGCATTGCAGGAAGACACAGGGAGGACTTGGAGGGGACAGTCCCGCATGCGGGCCCCCAGCCTCACTATCTAGCACTGTTCTGGTGAATTTCAGGCCACAAAAGAAACCAGTGTTTACACGAAAAAGGTGTCCATAAGACAGTTTCATTCTGCCTCGTGTTAAAGGGTGGGAAGATACTTTCCAGCAGCTGTCGCACTGTTCACCCATCTGTCTCCAGTAACCCTTGTCCCTAGCAGTTAAGCAGCTGAGCCAAGCAGCTTCCAGCCCTGAGGTACCGGGTAGAAGACACTGAGGAAGTGGGGTTCTGGAGGGGAAGGCAGAGGCCCCACATTGCAGTGTCTCACGGGCCAGGCCCAGTGTGGGAGGCAAGGAGCAGGCGAGTTGAAGTGCCTGCAGGAGGGTCCTGGGGGGTGGGTGGGTCTGCTGGGGTGATGATTGGGGCCACATTCACCAGTGTCGTCACCAGAGTGAAGGCTTGGAGGTCTTCAGAGGGTCCGGAGAGGACTGCAGATTAGAGGGTATAATTAACTGTTCCATTCAGGTCCCGAATTAAGCATGGAGTGCTGATTTTATCTGTTTAAAGGGTCAGCAGAAGAAAGGTAAGGGGAAGAGTCCCTGCTATGGTCTGGGTGTCCCCCCCAAATTCATGTGTTGGAATTTGCACTGGGAAGGTGCTGAAAGAGACTTACCATCTTCACGGTATTGAAGGGGGGGAGCTTTAGGAGAAGGTTAGGGTTTAGGTCATCAACAACAGGGCTCGACAACTGGGTTCCGGTGTTTATAAGGAGAGGGAAGGAAACCAGAACAGACACATGTGTGGACACAGGCACGAGGTCCTGTCCTTCCACACTGTGACACCTGGCATGGCCCTGAGGTCTCACGGACAGGAAAGCCCCTGTCGAGGTGGCCCCTAGACACTGGACCTGCAAATCATGAGCCAAATAAACCTCTGTTGTCTCAGATGGCTCAGATGCGGGGATTTGCTGCCCTGAGCCATAGAAGGGACCGACAGAGCCTTCAGGGCTGGCACTCTTTGATCCTGCCTTTAGTGCCAGGCCCGTGCTGAGCGCTGATGGCCTGGAGGGGCGTGATGGGGCAGCCTGACACCCTCAGGCAGCGTGGCGCCCTCAGGGCAGCCTGGCCTCCTCCCTCCACCCAGGGGCACGTACTTGACTTGCCGACTGGTCCTGCCGCCCTCCGAGGGCTGCCGTGCCTCACAGGCCCCAGGCATCATGGGCTGGATGGGCTGGCTCAGCAACAGCCTGGGAGCAGAGAGACGGAGAGACACAGAGAGAAAGAGTGAAGCTGAGCAGCGCGACTAGACAGCCCGGGCCCGTGGCCATGCAGCTGCAGCCTGGCTGGGCCCTCATGGCCAACTTGATCCCCACTTCCACCTCTGCTCTCAGAGGATGATGAACACGGTGGTCACCTCCTCTGGCCATCAGGTCTCCAAACCCTCTCCTGCTGCACCCCTGGCTGAGACCAGCGACAGAGCATTTAGCACCTGTCTGTCTGGACTCTGGCTCCATCTACAGCAGAGAAAGAGCTGAGATGAACCGCGTAAAACCATGCCTCAGTCATCCCCGCACAAGGACGGCCTGCCCACCTGAGCTGCCGGTCATGGCTGAAGTCTGGGCTGGGCTGGCACTGGCTGGCATCCTGGGGGGCGGAGGCGGGCGTGGTCAGACTCAGAGTTGGGGGAAGCACAGCCGTGGCGCTGCTGAATGGGGACGTCAAGCTGCTCAGCGTGCGGCTGCCCCCCTGCATCACCTGTGAGCTCCTCAGCAGCTTTGGGCCCTGGAGCATCATTTTAACGAAAAAGGCAACACTTGGGCTTGACTCAGGTTCATCTCCCAGAAAACCCTGCAGGTCACACCCCCCGCCTTTCCTTGAACGAGGGGTCTACCCACCATACACTGAATTATCTTGATCTTGTGACTGTCTTTCCCACTGGACCATAGCTGAATCCTCTGAGTCTAGGACAATGGCAGGCCCTCAGTAGGCAAGCAACAAACGTGCATTGAGCCAAACTATTTTCTGCTTCACAAATTCCATTTTGGAGATGTGGACCTTGTTGTTTCTCCAACTCCTAGACCAGCTCCTGTCCCAGGGCCTCTGCACCTGCTAAGCTCTTCAGCAGAATACTCTTCCCCCGATATTGATGGGGCTCATTCTCTCACCCCCTGAGGTCTTGGATCAAATACTCTCTTCTCTGGGGCCAGATGGTGGTGCGGTGGTAACATGACACTCTATGATGCTGGACCCAGGTGGGAAGGTTCTGGGTTTGGGTCCTGGGGCCTCCCTGTGCATGCCAGGTGCACGTGCAAGCCTGTGACCCAGGCTGGCTAAAGCTGGGGGATGGATAGTGGCATTACGACCCCATTGGGGGTACCTGTCTTTCTCCCTGAAGATACTCATAAATAAATACCTAATAAATAAAGCAAATATCGACTATCCTCTTGGGGAGGACACCTACGTAACATTCCAACCCCCAGCCCTCCTTCACCAGTTTCCCACGTTGCTACGTGACGTACTGTCACTTTTATTCATTTTTCTTTCTCTTCACTGGAACAGAAATCATTTTAACTTTTTCTCTGCTGCTGCCCCTAGTGCTTAGAACTTAGTGTCTGGTACGCACTGAGTGTTCGGTAGCATTTGTTGAGTGAAGTAATGAATGAGGGAGAGGGCGTGGCTTTGCGCTTGGGATTTGGACTTTCATTGACTGTCCATTCATATGGTGATACCACAGTGCTTTAATTCTTGTTTTATTTTTATTTTTTATTATTATTTTTTAGGTTTTTGCTATAGGATGCATGCTTGCACCAGAAAGATAGAGACAGACAGAGAGATAGAAAGTGAGAAATCACCCCTCAGGAGGGATGGCCATGCTGCAATCCCTTCTCCTCCATTCTCCTCTTGGGATCTTGGGCACGCATGGACACAGGCCAGGTGAGTTTAAGCCACCAGGTCCGGGACTCGAACATCGGTCGACTACGTGGGAGTCCAGCGACATGGCCATTATGCTAACTGCTGGTCCCAGCATTCTTTTATAAAATCTTCCAATAGCGGATAATGGAAAGCCTTCTTCAGTGTTTTCTTTTCCAAAATATTCCTGGCTATTCTCACTCGTGATGACATTTTGAATCAGAAAGTTGCATTTCATGCAGAAGCCTTACATTTGTGCTATGGCCTGGGTAATGGTGTGTCCCTCCCAAAGGTTCATGCTTTAGAATGTCGTCCCCAGTGTAATGTCATTGGGAAGAGGAGATGCCTCTAAGAGGTGAGGCCTAGTGAGAGGCATCTGGACCATGGATGCATCACCTTCATGATGGACTGATGCTGTCTCGCAGACAGAGGGAGTGCTAGCTCTGAGAATAGATCCATTCCTGTAAAGGAAGCTGAGTGCCCAGCGTCCCTCGGTACACACCCACCATCCTCTCTGCTGAGCACCAGAGGCCAGCCTGACATCGGCCTCACACCTTTGAACTTGCTAGTCACCAGAACTGTGAGGCAAATAAACCTCTATTCTTCAGGAATCCTCCAGTCGCAGGTATTTCTGTTAGCAACACAAGAGTGGACTAAGACAACTTGGGTGAAGATGGACCAACTGTCCTAGACATGGACTCATCACATCGTGCTGCACACCACCTGGGAGGGTCCCCAGAGGACAAGCTCCCTGAGGTCAAGGACAGCTCTGGCTCGCTTCCAGGCTCCAGGGCCTGGAGGAGCTCAGCGGGCGTTCGCTGAAGCCCTGGGAGCATGTGTGATATGACAGGCTTGAGGGAAGGCTGCCTTTCAAGCTGTGACCTCCCAGAAGCTGGTGCTCAGGAGTTCTTGAGGCCACTCACACTAAGTGCTGTTTACCCACTGGCAGCCCTGTCAGCTTGCAAGGCCACTGGTGGCTCACTATAAGTGGAAGTGGCTGCAAGGGAAGGGTTTGACAGGGAACCGAGGGAACCTAGAGGAGAACAGTGGTCCTGTGTCACGAGACAGTGACCAGAGGTGGCTGCCTGAGAGGGTAATGGGTAAACCCAGGAGTAGATGATAGGGTCTGAGGACATGCGTGTGGGGACAGACGGCTGTGAGCCAGGAGTGCCTGGGACGGCCTCATTCACCACCTGCCCTGGTTCCCTGTCAAAGCCATATGACTTCTTCAAGGGCAAGACAGGACTGAGGGCGACAGGAACGCTGCACAGCAGGAGGCCAACACAACTTGGGGCTTCCGAGTGACTTTACAAAGAGAAAAGTAAGGGACTGGCAGTTGGTGTAATGGCTATATCGCTGGACTTCCATGTAGTCGACTGCAGTTTGAGTCCCGGACCCGGTAGCTTAAAACTCACGCTGGGAGCATGTGTGTGCATGCCCAAGATCCCAAGAGGAGAAGGGACTGCAGCATGGCCATCCTCCCTGGGGGGTGACTTCTCGCTTTCTATCTCTCTGTCTTTCTCTGTCTGTCTGGCGAGTGCACGCACCCTATAGCAAAAACCTCTCCCCCCCAAAAAAGAGGAAAGTAAAGCAAAGCAAAGCTCCCAGGGCAGTGCACCGCAGCCCATGTGCTGCAGGTTTCCAGTTGGCACCAGCTGCGGGAAAGGAGGCTGTCTCGGCCTGCAGACCGCGTCCGCTCTGGGGGCCAGGACGGAGCGGGAGAAAGGACACAGGTACCTGGGCTGCTATCACGCCGGACTCTCTGAGCAGGTGCTGGCTTGCGACCTGGGTGGAGGCCATCGGCTCTGGAAGTCGGGGGCTCGCCACGAGCTGGGGTTGGGACGCGGCAGCCGACCTTTGCTGCAGCTGCTGCTGTGCCGCGGGCCGCGGAGCGCTGCTGAAGCTCAGGGACACTGGCTGCTGCGTGAAAATCTGAGAGCAGAGCGGGAGTGCTTTAGGGGAGGGCGCCCTCCCGTGTACCTCCCCTCCCACTTCTCCCGCAGCAGTCAGAGATGGGTCATGGGTCGGCTCGTGCTCTCTCCACCGACCTCCCTAGAAACAGTCCACTTTCTCTCCTGGGCGTCCCGACACAGCAAACGCCAGGCAGAGTGCGTGGATGGGACAGACACTGTGTCTGCCCTCACAGGTCACTGAGGTTCAACAGTGTGAACGAAGCGCAGGGGCCACCAGATGGCACAGCGGCTATATGGCTGGACTCGCACACTGTGGTTCGAGTCCTGGACCCAGTGGCCTGAAATTCACGCTGGACGTGTGTGTGCGTGCATACCCAAGATCCTGGGAGGAGAAAGGAGGAGAGTGGATTGCGGCACGGCCATCTCTTCTGGGGGGTGACCTCTCACTTTCCTCCTCACTGCCTCTGTCTCTCTGTCTCTCTCCAGTGAGCGCATGTGCCCTAAGACAAAAACCACTTTAGAAAAAAAGAGAAGAAAAGAAAGAAGCTTGGACTCAGTGTTCTGTAAGTAATGAAAATAACTTAGAGTTCAGCTTGGCTTATCAGTTTCTTCTCAGAGGGAGAACCACCTTGTGAGTAGAATGCATGACGTAAATCATGGTGGCGAAGGACTGCTTATCCTGCAGCATGGGCCGCACTGTCCCTGCAGTAGGTCTGGGCCTCGTGCCTGGCCTTGACCGAGGACCAGGGTCTGCACCCATATCGCTGCTGAGAACCTTCAACCCAGCGCTGTCAGCCGAGATGGCTCGTCTGCCCCATGACCTCAGTGTCTGCGCTGCCAGGCAGGCAAATAAGCACAGAGACGATGACACATGAATTAGGACAGGCAGCGGGGACTGCAGCAAATCCTCCTCTTCAACCGTGTGGGGACTGAGTCTGGGAGGATGGCGCCGAGACAGCTCCTGACCGCTCAGCTGACAGAGCGTCCTCATTTCAAAGCTGCAGGCTTCTCTTTCGGGGTGGGGGCATGAGAGGGAGCTGGGCAGATTAGCAGTGTGGTGGAAAGGGCACTTGATCCGACCTCGGGCCTCTGGTAGATGGCTCAGTGGCATCTGTGAAGGGGGCACTTGAGCTGACTGGTCTTTACGTGCCTTCAAGCCTCAGTGTGACGTGGTTCTACAACCACCTTTCCAACCCTGCTCTGTCACTCAGCACATGTCAGCGTGTCAGTTCTATACCGGGACGAGGATGGACTGCACCAAATACAGGAACTGAAGTTAAAATGCCAGATGCTAGGAAGAGAGAGCCTTGCTCTTAAAGAATGCAAAGCAAGGCCAACAGGTGGCATGGAATTTAAGGCAGCTGGAGCCCACATGGCCAACTGCATGATTCGAGTCCTGGAACCGGTAGCTTGAAAAACACATTGGGCATGTGTGCTTGCATGCCCCAAATCCCAAGAGAAGGCTATCCCCCTGGGGGATGATTACTCACTTTCCCTCTCTCTCTCTCTGATCAGCACACTTCACCCTTTAACAAAACAAAACCCTCAAAGCAAATGACGGGATGGAGTGGAAGACTATGCATCAAGAATCATGATACAGATAACATCAGAGGATCATCTCAGTGCCCAAGGGGAGCTTTTGTTTACAAAGCTAGGTACAGGTCTTTAGTTAAATGGTTATGGTAGTCATTAAAGTTGTAGTTCTTAAACATTTACAGTCAACTTACAAGTCCTCTCTGATTTGCAAGTCTTATTTGGTCTAAAAAGAGCCAGCTTTCACTCTTTTTAACTTATGAAGTTAGTTTGTAAGTTTAACATTATCTACCAAAGTAACTTATTTACTAATCACTCTATTGGAATCCGTCAAACATCCCACATACCTAACAAGGCAGATTTATAAACCTAAGAAGTGAAAACTTTCTAAGCACTTAGGTAGCTGCTTTAAATCAAATGTACCAAACTCTTTCTCACACACACATTGCGCACTATTTTTAAACCTTATTCAATTTTCTTACATTTTCAAATTAAAATAATCAGACAGCAGGTGGCATGGGGTTTAAGGCACTGGTTCTCATATGACTGTCTTAGCAGCTTGAGTCTTAGACCCAGCAGCTTGAAAATCGCACCGTGTGTGTGTGTATGCCCAAGATCCCAAGAGGAGAATGGAGACGGGATTGTGGCATGGCCATCCCCCCTGGGGGAGTGATTTCTCACCTTTTCTCTCTCTCTCTGGCAAGTGTGTGTACCCTCTGGCAAAAATCTGAAAAAGGCACTGGATCCCACATGGCCAACTCCATAGGTTCAAGTCCCAGACCTGGTGACTTGAAAAACATGTCAGGTGCATCTACATGTGCACCCAAAATCCTGAAAAGAGAATGGAGAAGAAGGGATTGTGGTGTGCTATTCCCCCCTGGGAGTGATTTCTCACTTTCTCTCCCCCCCCCCACTTCTGTGTCTCTGCGTGTACATGCCCTATAGCCAAAAAATCTAAAAACACAACAACGAAAAATCAGGTTAATATATTGTAGCCTCTTAGGTGTCTGAGACATTTTAGATAACAAAATTCATACTGATTATCATGATAATTATAAAATTTCTATAATATGGCTTGTTTAAAGCATACGGGGAAACTTAATGCTTCATCACTTTAGCAACCCTAATACGTTAGCCCAGTTACCATACATTGTTATGCAAGGATACAACTTACCTTCTGATTAGAGCTTGGGTGGGACCAACTTTATGACACTCATACATAAAGTTCTGACTCGCCCCACCCTACTCACAGCATATTCCTTTAAGATTTGGGCAGTGTTTGTACATTTTCCAAGCCTTAGTTTCCTCATTAATAAAACAGTGACATTAATGGCACGCACCTCATAAAGGAGTAAATACAATTAACGCATATAAAGTACCCAAGAAGCAGTTCGTGGTGAATAAATGTTGGATAATGGCAACAATATTTAAAAGAAAATTTTCTATTCTTTTACTTTTTTTGGCCTATCAAAAGTATTTATAAAGGAATGAATGGAATTAGTAAATGAGCGAGTAAATGACAAAGCGAGTAAAGGTTCTGCACGCTGTTTCTGCTGGTGTTCTGTAACGGAATACTGGCTGCACTACCATGCCGAAGCCCTGGCCCATTTACCTTTGTCTCCACAGTGCTTAACCAGGTGCTGGTACGTAAGGGAGGGGTGGGTAAATGTATGGATGAGTGGCTGGACAGAACAACAAATGGATGAATGGAAAGGAAGATGGGTGGAAGGATCCATGAGAAAAGCAACCAAAGAACGTGTCATTCGCCATTGCTACAGGTGTCCTTTAGACACTTCTGAGAGCAGCCAGCAGAGGGCGCGCATGCTCTCAAAAAGAGAGCGAGAGGCAGCCTTCCACTGCCTGAAGGGGCTGATGGGTCTTTCTGGAGAACAGCTCTGGCCAGCGCAGGCCCTGGTTTCCCCACCGGGGTACAAACACCAATAGCCCTAGAGGGCCTGTCCCCCTTCATAACCCAATCTTTTTGGGAAGAAAAAGAAAATCCTATTTAGCAAGCATTGCATGCACTCAGAGCCTTACTGAAAGTTCTGAGCCAATGACAGAGTAGGAAAGTCCTCTGAGGTGGGAATAAAGGATCTGGAAGGGGACCAGGGCCGGGGCGGAGCAGGGGACCATCCTGGTTTGCTGCTGTGCTCATCCCGCTTGTCCTATCAGCCGTAACGTAGAATTCCATGACTTAAGAAGACAACTTCAATTCCATAGGAAACATGCACAAAATAAAATACTCCTCCATTTAAAAAAAAATTTAAAAGAACGGTTTTTAAAAAAAGAAACTTCTAATTTTCAGAAGCAAGTAATTCTGGTTAACACCTGGTTACTTTGATAAACGTATTCGCAACGTTCCAGAAGTATACACAGTGGAGACATGGTATAGAGAGACCCCTCGTGCCACTAGGCTTCGACAGATACCTAACCTAAAGTCGTGTCACTCTCCACTTTTGGGGGCATGAGGCCTGGAGTACTTTCCCCTAACTTCTTTTCTTTTCTTTTCTTTTCTTTTCTTTTCTTTTCTTTTCTTTTCTTTTCTTTCCCCAAGGCTTTTTGTCACAGGGCATGTGTGCTTGCCAGAGACAGAGAGAGGAAAAGTGAGAAATCACCCCCAGAGGGATGGTCATGCCACAGTCCTGTTTGTTCATTCTTCTCTTAGAATTTTGGGCACGCATATCCACGCACCCAGTGTGATTTTCAAGCTGCTGGGTCTTGGTCTTGAACCACAGGTGGCTATGTGGGAATCTGGCACTTTAACCATCACACCACCTGGTTATTCTTTACACTTGAATTATACATTTAAAAAAAAAAACAAATGTCACATCTTGGAACATATTTCTTTAAGATTTGCAAGAAACAAGAAAGCAGGCTGCTTGAGGGAATGTTCTCTGGTTTGAGTATCTGTGGATTTCCATGCTGTCTGGAAAATTCCACTGCAAAGATAAGGCTGCAGGAATGAAGCAGGGAAGCACACAGCGAAGGCTCGGTTTCCACACCCTCCCCGACAGAGCTGAGGTCTGCGTGGCATGTGCACTTTGGGGGTGATGACGCGCATGGGTCATGAGGAAAATAAACTATTTTTTTTTTTAAGAGAGCATTTTTTGCTATAGGGTGTGTGCACTCGCCGGAGAGACAGAAAGCAAGAAATCACCCTCTTGGGGGGGGATGGTCATGCCAATCCCTTCTCCTCCATTCTCCTTTTGGGATTTGGGGCATGCATGTGCATGTGCCTGGTATGAGTTTTAAGCTGCAGGTCTGAGATTTGAACTGTGGTCACCTATGTGGGAGTCCAGCAATGTAATCATTATGCCACCTGCTGGTCCCAATAATACATCTTTATAACAGAAAGTGGAAGCAATCACCTTCTCACCTACTATTTTAAAATCGAGCTTTAACGTTGAAAAAACAGGAAGTAGCAAAGCCCGGCAGTGAGGAGGACGTCTCTACGCCTACCTTGCTTTTAGCAGCTTCTCCCTTCCTGTTAGTGTAGAAATTCCATGAAAGTATTGGAGGCCCAGGAGGTGGCATGATGGGTAAGGTGCTGGACTCCCACATACGCCATCACAGTTTTAATCCTAGACTTGGTGGCTTGCTTTCTCATGTTCCCTTTCTCTCTCTCTCTATCTGTGGATTTCCATGCTGTCTGGAAAATTCCACTGCAAAGATAAGGCTGCAGGAATGAAGCAGGGAAGCACACAGCGAAGGCTCGGTTTCCACACCCTCCCCGACAGAGCTGAGGTCTGCGTGGCATGTGCACTTTGGGGGTGATGACGCGCATGGGTCATGAGGAAAATAAACTATTTTTTTTTTTAAGAGAGCATTTTTTGCTATAGGGTGTGTGCACTCGCCGGAGAGACAGAAAGCAAGAAATCACCCTCTTGGGGGGGGATGGTCATGCCAATCCCTTCTCCTCCATTCTCCTTTTGGGATTTGGGGCATGCATGTGCATGTGCCTGGTATGAGTTTTAAGCTGCAGGTCTGAGATTTGAACTGTGGTCACCTATGTGGGAGTCCAGCAATGTAATCATTATGCCACCTGCTGGTCCCAATAATACATCTTTATAACAGAAAGTGGAAGCAATCACCTTCTCACCTACTATTTTAAAATCGAGCTTTAACGTTGAAAAAACAGGAAGTAGCAAAGCCCGGCAGTGAGGAGGACGTCTCTACGCCTACCTTGCTTTTAGCAGCTTCTCCCTTCCTGTTAGTGTAGAAATTCCATGAAAGTATTGGAGGCCCAGGAGGTGGCATGATGGGTAAGGTGCTGGACTCCCACATACGCCATCACAGTTTTAATCCTAGACTTGGTGGCTTGCTTTCTCATGTTCCCTTTCTCTCTCTCTCTCCGGTCAAATTAAAAAAATAAATAATAACAAAATAAATAAATACATCTTAGAAAAAATTAAAGTATTGAAGTTCTGGGCTACCAGTAAGGATGGGAGGAAAATACCGGAGAAGTATCCACGAGTGGGCTTTGTACTTCGGGACGCCCCGATGACTCCCTTCTTTTCAGGACACGCTACAGTCTTGTCCCTGGTTGGTTTATGGGGTGTCCCCGAGGAGGTCAGGGAGGTGGGTGTGGCCCTGGCCCGGAGAGAAGGCTGTGGCACCACAGCTGCCCGGGGTGTGGCGAGCAGCTTGGTGAGGGTGGAGCCAGCCCTGGCCAGACTGTGGTGCAGTGGGAGCTGGGGTCTGGAAAGCCTGCCGGGAACACCCCCGGGGGCCAGGCAGAGGCGCTGGGGGCCCTGGGAGGCAGGATGGCTGGGAGGGATGCCTGCTGCCCACCAAAACCTGCACCATCAGGTGCTAATCTCAGCGTGCATGGACTCATGGAGATTGGGCAGAGCTGTGGTGACCAGGGGAGGGTCGCAGAGACCATGAAGGGAAAAGTGGCAGGACGATGCTCTGGCCATTCCCAGCATTCCCTCCTCCGCTGTCTATCTCCCTCCCAGGGGTGGCAAGCACTGAGGGGCTGACTCCCAGGTTAGCTCTCTGGAAAATCCCACTGCAAAGGTAAGGTCCCATTCACAGTGAACAGAGGGAAAATGCTGCCTTTCGAAGACAATCCTGGACTGATGTGAGTGCAAGTTGGTGAAAATAACCTATTCTCGAAAGAGATCCAATATGTGATTTTCCTCCAGGTAGAATCTCTCTAAGGCAGAGCCGCGGCCGTCAGGGCATGTGGAGCATCCCCGGGCATGCCACATGTGGCGTGGTGTGGAGGAGCCAGCCCGTCCCTCTGCGTGCCCCTCGGGCCACAGCTCAGATTTCCTCATCCCCGGCTCCCCCGATTCACGCACTGAGTGAGAAGCCGACAGCACAGCTGTTTCCATCTCCCTCGGTGGCAGCCCGGGCCAGGAGCCATGAGAGCAGTTACATGAGGGGACTTCAGAAAGTTCGTGGAAAATGGAAGGAAAGAACACGTTTCTTTTGGTGCAGAACTTTCTGTCATACAGTTTTTTTATATAACACCCATTTTCTTTTCTTTTTACTTTTGTTTTTGGAGAGGTTTTCGCTATAGGGTGTGTGCACTCGCCAGGCAGACAGAGACAGAGAGACAGAAAGCAAGAAATCATCCCCCAGGGGGGATGGCCACACCGCAATCCCTTCTCCTCCATTCTCCTCTCGGGATCTTGGGAACAAACACACACGTGCCTGGCGTGAGTTTAAACCACCGGGTCTGGGACTCAAACCATGGTCGGCTACATGGGAGTCCAGCGACAAAGCCATTATGCTAACTGCTGGACCCTGTAACACCCATTTTCCAAGAATGTTTTGAAGGCTTGGCATGCAGGTCCTGGGCACTCCAACCCAGGACCAAGACAAGCATCCATACTGGTGAAACACCAGCACAAATGACAGTGCAGAGAGGCCAGGATTACTCTGCGGCCTGGTGGTTGGCTCACCTGGTCCCACATGGCCAAGTGTGCAGTTCAAGTCCTGTCCAGGATTTGAGAAACATGCCGCGGACACGTGTGTGCATGTAAAATCTCGAAGGGTGGGAAGGATGGAGGAGAACTGTGGCATGACCATTCCCCAGGAGGGTGCTCTCTCCTCTCCCTCTCTCTGTCTCTCTGGTGAGCACACACATTCTGTAGCAAACCAACAAACAAACAATGCAGATGGAAAACTAGCAGTATGTGCTCACCAGAGTGAGGGGCAGGGAAGCAGGGCATCATGGGAACCTCACGTCTGGCCTGGCCTGGAGGTGGGGCAGGGAGGTGGACGGTCCCTGCTCTTGCCCCTGCAGGTCCCAGTGTGCTTTTTAACCCAGAAAGCCTGGATGTGAGGGAACGAGGCAGTGTGGAGGGCTCTTGGAGGAAGTCCTGCAGGCAGCTGAGGACCTGCCCCAGAGCGGCAGGGGAGGGACTGGTCGGCAGGGCCTCACCTGGACGCTGGAGTCCTGGACCAGGCAGAGCTGCTCCTGGATCTTGTGCAGCTCTTCCTGCTGCCACCGGATGTTGGCCTGCAGGATCCGCGTCCGCTGCTCCAGCTGGTCTTTGATGGCCTGGAACATGCTGAACTGGGCCGAAAACTTCGAGGTGGGGTCCAGAAACATAACCAGAGAGAAGTCAGTTCAGCCTGCAGACACATCCTGCCGCCCTCCTGATTAGCCCCTGCGTGTCCCTTCCCATCCCTTAGCCACCCTCCCCAGTGTCAGGGTGGGCAGCGGCAGGGGCTGTGACCCAGAGCTGGGTGTCCCTGGGTCCCTGTGCTAGCCCTTCTGTGGCTGGTCATGACAGCAGGCCGACTGATCTGTAGGTCTCGTTTACAAACTGTAGTCTAGGAAGGCTGAGGAACCAGGGCATGATTTTCTCACTCACTCATTCATTCATTCATTTATATTTTAGGTTTTTGCCATAGGACACATGCACTTACTAGAGAGACAGAAAGAGAGAAAGAGAGAGAGAGAGAGAGAGAGAAATCACCACCCCTCCCCAGGGATGGCCACACCACAGTTTCTTCTCCTTCATTCTCAAGACTGAGCATGCAACACACACTTGCCTGGAGTGATTTTCAAGCCGCCAAGTCAGGGACTTGAACTGCAATTGGCCATGTGGGAGTCCACTGCCTTAACCACTATGCCACCTGCTGGCCCTCAGGACATGATTTTATAAAAATTACAAACTGATATTTCAACTTCGGTCAGCCATGCCCAGAGGCTGCACAACTTGCTTGGGATCACATGGCTGGGTGGTGCTAACTCCTGGTCTCGGGAGCTGCGGGAGGCTCCCGAGAAGGTTTTTGCCAGCACTCATGCCCACTTCAGTCAGAGCACATTTTTTTTTTAAAGAGTTTTTTGCTATAGGGCGTGTGCGCTCGCCAGACAGAGAGCGAGAGAGACAGACAGATAAAAAGCAAGAAATCACCCCCCCAGGGGAGATGGCCACATCGCAATCCCTTCTCCTCCATTCTCCTCTTGGGATCTTGGGCACGCATGCACACGTGCCCGGCGTGAGTTTAAGCCACCGGGTCCGGGACGTGAACCGTGGTCGACTACATGGGAGTCCAGTGACATAGCCATTACGCTAACTGCTGGTCCCAGTCAGAGCACTTTGATGTCAGACTTCATTTGAAAAGCTACCCATGGGTCTGGCCTCCTAGCCTAGCAGTTAAGGGAGCTGGATCCCATGTGGCTGACCCTGGTTTGAATGCCAGTCCGAGCAGCATGAAAGACACGCCAACACACGTGTATGTGTGCCAAGTCCCGGGGATAGAGAAACGGAGGACGAGGGAACGTGACACTGTCCCATGAAGGCATGCTCTCTCCCCCTGCGTCCCTCGTGTCTCTGTGGCCAGTTCATACACCCTCTTATAATTACAAAAATAAAAAAGCAAAAGGCTACCCATGAGCTCAAAGAGACCTGCACTGCCCTAGACAGTGTCGCAGAATGTAATTAACCAGAGCACTCAGCTGGGATTTCGAAAGAGAATTTGAGCAAGCGAATAAGCTGAAGCAACTATTCAATGAAAACAAAACAAAACACAGCACAGCTTCTATGGTGGGTTCCACAAAGTCAAAACACATCCAGGGCCACACCTCCCACTCCAGTGGAGGTGCTCTTGGAGGCTGAGTGGGCTCAGACAGGAAGCGGCGAGCCCAGGGCGCTGTCCAGTGGCGCTGGCACTGCCCTTAGGGAGCGTGAGGCCTCCTGGCGTTATCCTGGCTTTCTCAGGGCACGCCGGATGCCTGACCATTGGGCTGCCAAGCTTGGGTAAAGCGACCTACGCTAACTCAAGAGGCATTTCAGAAACACGGTATGAAGCAAAAGAGGCTTCGTGGAAACTACCAGTTACCGAGATAACCACTTCCCGGATTTCGCATTTTCTCTCCCCGACTCCCCACAGGACTTTGCAAAATGTCACTGTTTCATATGGGGTCGGTACCAGGATACCGTCTGACTGACTTGGAAGGTCGGTACAATGGAAGAATGTCTTTAAGAATGTATCGGGTGGTCGGAAAATCATGACACATCTTTGTGTATAAAAACATAGAAAAAATATGTCAGACTTTGCTGACAACTCAATAGTTACCATGGGTGAGCCCTGAAGCCTAGTGGGTAAGGCAGTGGGATCTCACATGGTGACTGTGGTTCAAAGCTTGGCCCTGGTGGCTTGAAAAATATACCAGATATGTGTGTGCGTGCGTGTCCCAAATCCCAACAGGATGGAGCGATGGAGGGTAAGGGATTGCAGTGTGGCCAGGCCCCATTATGGGTACTTTTCCCTACCCCCTTCTCTCCCTGGTGAATTGCACGCCTTCTAGCAATTAGAAAAACGTAATTATGATTAAGCTTTTAGTATATCTCACAGACTAAGAGTGGGTACTATTAAGCAATATGAAGCTTAATAAATGAAAAACTAGAATTCCCAAAGGGCCTTAATCACATGATTATGTCTTATAAATAAGAATTATGTACTATGCAGGGCCCAGTAGTTAAAGGAATCCTTATTTCATGTGTCTTTGGTTTGAAAAAGTCACTAACATGCTTTGGAGACTTGAAGAGGGAAACATTATTTTTCTTGTTCTTTGCCAGCAGATACAAGCAGACTATTTGAATCAGTAGACTCTGAGTGAGCAGCATTCTCATCCTTCCCCAAGCCTGGTTCTTGCAAACCCCCAGGAACACCGCAGAGCGCTGCCGAGGGGCAGGTGTCCTTGCTTAGTTTTCATCAGTGGTCACAGGTCTGCACCAAGACAAGGAAGCCAGCACTCTGGCAGCTGTGAGCCCAGTGGTGGGTGCTGGTGCACTGCTGCTGCCCGGGATCCAGGTCTAGCTGTGGCCAGGGACTGGGGCAAAGCTAAATACCCCGTAAAGAAACTAAAGTCCGCTCTGTGGCCTCAGCAGCCTATCGGCCTGCAGGACCACAGGCTGATGGCCCCTGCTTTTTCAGCCTCTCACCAGGCCCAGCATGCCAGCATTTCCCAGCTCCCTGCTGGAGAACTTCCTTGGGTCTCTTCCCCGCCAGCCCCTTTCTCTACATTCAGTACCCTCCTACTCTAGAGCCAGCTCAGTGTCACCTCTCCCCGGTAGCCACCTCTGACTTCCCTAGGCACACTGGCTTATGGATTGCATTAAACAGGTCCAGCCATAGTGGCCGCCCTCCAGCTCTGAGCACTGAAAGCCAGAGCTGCATTACGGGGAGGTCTGCCTCCATAACTCCTTGCTCACTGATTGACCCAACAGTGACGCACTGAGTGTTGTTGAGATGAGGAAGGAGTTACTCAGCAAAGCTGAGATCCTTCTTTTTTAATAATAATAATAATAAGATGATATTTATAGTACTGGACTCACAGCTTTGGATCCTCTTAGAGTCTTCCTATGACATTCAGCTTAAGGTGGACCTTTTCTAAAACATCATGCCCAATTTGGGGATGTTACAAAATGAGAGGAATGTCATACAATGGCAGAGAGACGAATGAGGATCATTAAAAGGATTGGAAAAAAAAAAAACCACACACATGTGCACGTGTGTCCACACACACACACTGGGACAAAGAACTCGGAGGCTGTACCTGACGGGGATGAGAATGGCATGGAGGAGGGCATGTGCAGGGACAAGTCTGGGCTTCCACTGGACCCCGTGTGCCCCTTGGGAGGAGCATTCCTCACGCCACGGCCTTGGTTGGTACCAAAGAGCCTGGTGCCCACCTGCACCCACACACCCACAGGCTCGAGAAGAGTCACTGTTGGTCTTAAGGAAGAGCTGCCCTTGCCCCAAGCCCTAGATTCACCTGTGCCATAGGAACAGGTGGGCTCTGCAGAATGGTCTGAGGCAGGAGCTGTGGGGTGAGGTCACAGGATGACGGGGACGGCAGAGGAGCCTGCGGGAGAGAAAGGTGCTTGTTAACAGACGCTGCGCCGGCGGTTCCAGGCCCGGGGTGCAGTCTCTGGGTGGATGAGTGCTCTGGCTGAAAGTCCAGACGTCCAGCGGGTACCGGCACCTGTTTCTGCTGCATCCCAGCAAGGCACGAAGTCAGAGCTGACAACGTGCACGTGCGGTGGCCCTCGAGCAGGCTCATGGAAGCACTCGGCGTCCGCAACTCCCACCATGGTGTGCTCTGCGAGGCTGTCGCCACCTGCCCAAGCTTGGCAGCTTGGCCCCATTTCCCTCGCCTGCCTCCTGCTCTGCTGCATCCTTGGTGATCTGGCTGCCCTTCCCTCAGACTGCTCACTCCTGCGCTGCAGGCCAGCAGTACCCCGGTGTGCAGGGATGCAAGCAGAGGCAGATCTGCGAGTGGCATTGCTCCTACGGATGGACGGACACACCATGCATGCCTCACCCAGGAATACTTCCAGGTGATGAAGCCTGGGCAAGCTCACCAGCCTCCGCCTGTGATCTCAGAGGCCCTGGAAGGTGAGGGGAGCCACTCAGTGGCCCGGATGGGGGTGGACAGAAGAAATGTAGAAAGAAGAAATGAACCCTATGGCTATCGGAGCTTTTAAATAAAAAGTAAAAGGACTCCTCCGAAGTGGTTCTCAAATGCCCCTAGTCCCTGGTGACTGTACAAAGTAGCCTGCAAGGTAAGTGTCACCCAGGACAGTACCAGGGGACAATGCCAACAGGAGAGCTTGCTGAAATCCCAGGCACAGAGATGACCCCACAGCTGGCTGGGGCTCTCCTAATTGTGTCCCCTGCACAGCTGGCAGGAAGGACCCGGGCCACCATTGGTGCCGGGCAAGTCATGCCGGATGGGGAGGAACCTGGCAGAAAGGCAGTCATGGGTGACACGTGCACCTGGGGGTGGCTGTAGAGAAAGACAGCAGTAGAACAAGAAGTGCCATCCAAGCTTCCCCAGCAGGGCATGCTTCACCGGCAGAGTCATGGCACGTGAACTCCATTGCCAAAGGGTTGGTGAAGGATGGGCAGCGGGAACTGGGCACCTATTAGGATGTGGCCCCGCTGTCTAGCCGGGTAGTGTCCCATCTAGAAGAGCAGGTCCATGGTCCTCTCTACGGGAGCTTGTGACTGCTTTGGCCAAGAGGCTTCACAGGGGCCACGCTAGCAGAATTCAGGGCTAGGTCATAGAAGTCAGGGCAGCTTTTGTCTGGCTGCCTGGAAGTCTCCTCCCGGAATCCAGCTGCCATGTGGGGAGAAGCCTAAGGGCCTCTCCAGGAGAGGCCCATGCAAGTGGCTGATGGTGGTCTCAGCTGAACCCAGCCTTTGGCTGAGGGTGGACATTCAAGTGCAGACTACATGAGGATGCAGGTTCTCCAGCCTAGGCTGGTGGGACGCCTGACAGCTCAGAGCAGAAGACAGATGGCCCCACAGTGCCCTTCTGAATTCCCAACCCAGACTCTGTGGGCATGAGGAGTGATCAGAGTTCTAGGCCACGGAGTTAGGTGAGGTCTGCCACGTGGCTGTTGATGACGCAATGACTTCACACCCAGTTACGTGCCTTTTCTTCCTTTTCTCCCCTAGAGACAGGGTCTCACTAGATTTCCCAAGCTGGGCTTGAACTTGAGATTCTCAGGCAAGTGCCACCACGCCTAGCTTCAGTGCGTCCTCTGAGCTGCCACTCACTCCCTGCCACTCAGGAGAGGTCTGGCACACGGCGGGGACACTGCGTGATACCCGTGCCGGGGAACACTGTGGTTGACGCCAAGCATCTCAGATGTTTCCACAGGCGTGAAATGGGATTCAAAATAGGAGTGTCCTAGTCACGCACATCCACAGGCTCTGGGAGCTTGAATCTGGGTTCTGTAAAACTCATTTGGATTTTGCATTCTATGGCTATATATCCATGTTGATTTTGTTACAAAACTGTTTAAAATTAGTTGCCAATTAAACGACTGAACCTCCCACCCCCAGCCCCCACCTGAACTCTCTATCTCTGAGTAAAACTGATTTTCTGGGCAGCAGCGGCATGGCGCCCGTGTCTTTGCAACCCCGTCCCACTGCAGCGTTCCCCGGTCAGGAAGCTTGGGGTCCCGCGCATACCGGCATCGTGGCTGTCTGGCTGAGCCCAGGCACCGGTAGCTCTTGGGGCAGGGTGGCCGATCTTGGCAAAGCTGTGGTGCTGGCCTCTGCCGTCAGCCTGGTGGGAGTGGCTGTAAGGAAGCAATTAATTACGCTCCTGGTACACGAGGGGGCTTCGAAAGTTCGGGGGAAGGGTGTCACGTGAGGAACCATGCGTAGACTGCAAGTGTTTTTGCACGTGATTAAAGTTGTGCTTCAATTCTATTTTTCCACAGCTTTTTAATGTCCTCTCATACATACTAGCTTTTTTCCTTTTCTTTTCTTTTTTTTTTTTTTTGAGAGAGGGTTTTTGTTTTTGGGGCGCGGCCGTTTCCCTAA